TGGGTTTTTTTTTGCTGGGGTTGTTTGGCTTGCCTTGGCCCCTAACCTAAAATTTTGGGGGGGGAGGGGGGGGAAAGAACCCGGCCGGGGGGGTACCAAAAGGGGGTTTGTAGTTTTGAAAACAGCGGGTTTAGTTTGGCAATTTTGGAAGCATGGGGGTTTCCCCCCGGGGGGGGGGGGTTTTTGGGTTAACTTTAAAAGGGGGGCAAGATCCTTCCCCCCCCCTTTTCCCTTTGGGGGGGGTTCCTTTTTTTTTAGGGTTTTGTTTAACCAGGGGGTACTTAAACTGGTTGGGGGCAAGGGGGATCCCGGGTTTCCCCCGTTTTTGGGGAAATTGGGGCATTTTTTTGTCAGGAAAACCCCAGGGCCCCCCCCCCCCCCCCACAGAACCGAGGGTGAACGAATGCACAAGAACAAGCGCAAGAACGGTTAGGATAACAGTCGGACATGCGAGACAGCGATGGCAAGGTCTAGGTTCCTTCGTGGGCCGAGAGGCGTTCATGATTCACGACCAACGGAAAGGTCGAGTGAGACCCAAGACGTGCAGCCCAAAATAGGCAAAGCCTGACATCTTGGCAAAGAAATGGCCAAGAAGATTTTTCGGCTTTCGAAAGGCGTTTCTTACCGTACGTGTTATTACTAGTTCCTGAAAGCACTTGTAGAGCAAAAGTGCACACGTCGGAGAAACACGTGTAGTGTAAATCGAAGGACGGGAATACCACCCGGGCGAGGTAGTTTCTTTGCCGTGCCGGGAGGGAGCGAGCTTGCTCCCTTGCCTTCACATCCTACGGTGCCAAGATTCCTACGTCCTACGTACGGCACGACAGTCGGTCGAGCAGGTCCAGGCGAGCCGGCTGACAGGACTATGGGTGACAAACACACTGACCGTTGATGGGTACAGGTCAAACCTGCCCCATGATGTTGTTGTGGCGATGCGAGGCATGCCAACGTGATCTTTGCCCCCCATGTTTACTCCTGAATGCCCGCAAGCCATACGTAAAAATCTCGCTACTAAAGCTGTGTACAAGAGCAAAGGTTCGACTGACCTGCTGGGCATTGAAGTTGGACACTCCCACCGAGCGGCACAGGCCTCGATCGCAAGCCCTGGACAGCCCTTCAGCCAGAGCATCCATTCCTCCAAAGTACGGGAACGGAAAATGTACCTGAGATAGATACCATGCCACCACAGCGGATAGTGCCGTGTGAATCATCATCATTATGATCATTATTATGATCATCATGATAGTCGGAATCGGAGGCACCAGAACTTGGCCAAGCAGCACAGGTACTCCATCCACACCAGTGATGCGTTCTTGCGCTGCATCGCACGACAAGGATGTTCCACGGCAGGGCAAAACTTCGTAGCACATCACCACACCGCTATGCCGTGCCATGGAAAAAGTGTGGCGGATTCGCTTACGGTTCGCGAGCGAGGACGCACGGCAGCAAACAAGACACTTGCTCCCAGTGAACACAAGCGCGTGCCGTGGCGTGGGCAAAGAGCCGACCAATGATCTCGTCAACGCCTTGGAAATATTGTCGGACAGCAACACACCATTCATTGTCAGAACATGGGGGCTTGACACGAACAGACTCCCAAAACACACACCGAAATGGATCAGCACATGAGAGGCATGACACGAACAGCGTCCCAAAATACACACACCGAATGGGATTCCACGGTAGCTGCGGTGGTAATTCCCAACGTCTCGCCACCACCCCGGGACACGCCCGTCAAAAGGGCGAGTCCAGCAAGCCGCTCGCGCAAGCAGCCCGTACCTGGTACAGATCTACGTATGCCCAGCCCCCCTTCTCCAGCGTGGCCGTCAAGGCCTTGGCGATCGCTCGTCGCCCCGCCCTCCACGGCCCGCCGATCAGAAACTTGGTCCAAAATATCGGCATGTATTTCGCCCCGATCAAGGGGCGGCCCTGTCGCGCGAGTGAGTGTTGTGTGCGTACTGAGCGACGAGGGGGAAGTAGGAATCGGTTTCGTCCCAGATTATTGCTGTAAGCGTAACGTAGGGTTAGCTCTTTGAGCCACAGCGTTCCTATTTAGTGCGCGGTCAAATCCGAACGAAGCGCCAACGTGGTTCCGTGGGCGGCAACACAACCCCGACCCAGAGAACGGAGGGGCCGAGCGTTACGGTAGCTGCCCTCAGCATTTATGTATTAGTGTGAAATAGAGAGCCGACCTCATGAACTATATCTGTTCTTCCACATCTTGGAACGTATGCCACACATTCTGAAAAACTCTATGCACCTCCGAGGGCTGGAGACCCCCAAGCCAGCGGAGAACACACGCGCTTGCACTATTTCAAGCCCGCATCGCTTCGAAGCCACTGTACCGCAATGCTCTCCTGTCGCAGCGTCAGTTTCCATGCCTCGTCCGTGTAGATGAACATCTGCGTGCTACCTGACACGAAGGGTTACGCTACCTCCATTCATGCGAGCCAAACGCTTCCATCAATGCTCTCGGGAACGTTGCGCTTTTCTCGCACAGTCAGCAGCACTCAGCCCATAGCCATTACGAGCAACATGCAATCACCAAGACTCCAGCAGCTACGCCGAAGTAAGAGCATTGGGACACTGTCTCACGTTTTCCTCCGCAAATCTCCCCAAAAGTTGCTCCGCGCTGAAACCTTCCGGAGACGATTTGTACCCGTACACGTCCGACGTGTCGAAAAAGGTTATCCCGGCATCCATCAGGGTATTGTACGCCCCCTGTTTTTCAGTGCGGGTAAAATATAATACAAGCAATGGGCGCCTTGGGATGATGACCACACAAAGTCATCGGGGGTATGATATCTATTTATGTCTTCTCGGTGACGTGGAGGCGCACGGACGATAGAGTGGGGAGTGCTAGGACAAAGAGGCGGAAGCCAACACAAGTCTAATACAATTGACATCATTCACAGGCCGTTGAAATCTAAAGGTAACAACTGGTTGAGGTTCAATGCCCCATGAGCGAACGAAAAACCGCCGTCCATACTATGGTACTGCAGTATCCAGCAACAACGATGCACCTGAAGGTCCGCCGGGTTGAACTCGCCCTCCTTCGGCTTGTACTTGGGATCGCTCACGAACCCTACTTTCTTGTCCCCCCAAGCCATGGTGCCGACGCCCATATAGTTGGGGATCTCCAGCTTTCCCTTCTTAAGCATGCTCCTGCGATATCATGGCAACGGTTGCGTTTGGGCTCGGTAATGTGCATAGGTACCGTAAGAGTCGGAGAGATGGCACCCCCGTGTTAGCGTTTTTGTACAGCGTATTTCTCCACAACCAGGGGGGTACCACTGCCGAAAAGGGGAGTTTTGGAAACATCTCGTCGAGGGCTTTCCGGAGAGGTATCGGTTGGTGTTCACACCCTCCTAGTTGTGGAGAAATACGCTATACAAAAACGCTAACACAGGGGTGCCATCTCTCCGACTCTTACGGTATGTCAAAGGTGATGTCAATGGTGGGTACACACCTCTCGCTTCAACACACCGTCGTATTCCGCGTTCTGCTTATTGGAACTCAGCGACAAGTTGAAGCTGAACATGTCGCAAAACCAACTCCACTCTCTTGCATGTGCCGTCGTCCGCGCTGCAGTGAAGGATTCCGGCAACGCTGGGATGCAAGTATCGGCCGTCTCGCATGGCCGGGTGATGGAGTCAATTCCATCAGTATTCATAAAATTCTTCGAGACTGTGAAGCCACAGACAGCGTTTCAACAGGCGACCAATGTACAGACCAGCATGGACATGGCACGGAACCGTCCATTTTGTGCGTAATTCACTGCAAAAGTAACGAGAACGTACCGTGCGCTTGTGGGGGACGAACGCTAGAAATAGTGCGCACGCGTTTCAAACCTGGTTCAAAACTGGTTCAAAACTGGTTCAACACTGGTTCATTGTCCCCAAGTTGTCGCAAAGGTTACTGGGTTCTTCTGTACCGTCACTCTACGACCCCCAGTTAGACGAATACCGCGTCACAGAGTAGATGAATCAAACAAAGCAGGCGTGGAGAACGTCGGCAGGACGCGGCTCATGCACGTTCTCTTCACAGCAGCAGTACTTTGGACAAACGGTCATGCTCATTGCCACAAGCCTGTTCTAAAATGCCGTTACTGTTTGCCTGCGGAATGCTTTTATTCATGCGCTATGTTGACCGCCATTTGAGAGCCTCCTGCCGCGGTGTGGATAACATCATTGATATCATCGCTTTGTGCAACAACGCAGCAGCAACACTGACTAGACGGCGACGAGAGCGAGTCGGCGTGCCCACGGCGTCGGGCCTGGGTGTTCGCAGTCCACACTAAAAATCAGTGACATGTTTCCGTTTGTATGCAGGTTTCCTTTTGATGAGCAAACGACCCCATCTTCATACGGCGGGAGAGTAGAGCTCGCCATGGAAACCTGCTATACTCAGCCTGTTACAACAGGGTATAAAAGCAGCAGTAGTCGCTTCGCACAATACGCCGGTCGCGCACCTGGGGAAGACGAAAGGCTTGTCGTCCCCTCCCTCCGTTGACATCTGGAGCGCAGCCTTTGCATAGGATCGCGCCAGCGGTGCATGGTGGTGGCCAGCTAGGGGAGCAATGAAGCCGTTTGCAGCCGTCATTGCTGCCAGGAACACCACTGCCGCCATGATAGGCGCCATGACCGCGTCCTTATGTGTGTCTGTCTGGCGCCGGTGTGTGAGCGAGTTTCCTGCGGACGTTTGCCTGCCTCACTTGCTCCTCCTCGGGTAGTGTATATGCGTAGATGTGTAGCCTTGCTGCTGCCAGATACACCAGGCAAGCAACTGCCTAAATGACCTCCTCCACTCGAGCTATATTGCGTGTAGCTCCCGTTCAAACTACTACTCCCTGTCGCTTCGTTCTCTGCTACGCACAGGTCGAGGCCGACGCCAGACAGGAGGAAGCCGGGTTGCCAGTTGCGGGGGCGGGATTGCGGGGTTGCTGCCCCAGCAGCACCCCTTCCACAAATGGTGCATTACACGGAACCCCCAATCTTAATCAAATTGACAAACTGACGACATTCGATCCGCATTTACATGCAGGTGCGTTGTTCGACGATGATGGTAGAGGCGACCGGGATACGATCGGCCTGTGTGTTTGGGGGGGGAGATGGCCAGAGCGAATAAGAAGGGAGCAGAGGTTGTTGGTGTGTAATAGGTGGACTACAGCTCTATCTGGTTCGTAGAGGGCGGCTCCCGGTGACCAAACAAAAATCAAAAAGATATTGGTGCTACATGTATACGAAGTTTTGTTTGTACTCGGACAAACATCGTGACAAACTTCAACGATGATTGTCCATTGATGACTACTAACTCTTCTCCTCTCTGCTACGTCGCGAACGCCAGAATACCCAAAACTCCTGTCCTAGACTATATATGTACTGCTGTGGTGCTCTTCATGTCAACCGCTATAATACCGAGATTCACAAGATACAGACAGCCGTTTGGTCGGAACATTGCCTTACCCAAGGCATTCCAATGTGTCCCTTCCTTCTTCTGTTTATTGCCCTGTCTCCTCTAGACTACCTGCACATGTTCTAGTTCATCTACTCTTCTTGGCCCTTGTCATGTACGATGGATGGAATTTGGTGTACAGCAGGGAGAAACTGATTCTTATTCATTCAGCGGGCAAATCATCTGCTCACCGTACACCCATCGACCAATCAATGTTAGGCATCAATACGATCAACACAAGCAACTTCGTTTACTTAGCTTGCGGTAGGTCATACGTGTTTGCTTACAGAACTTCATTGGACCCCGGTCGTTTTCAATTCTTAGGCCCTATCGACAGGTGCTGCAACTCGACGAATGGTTTCCAAACAGTAGACCGCCTTCGACAACCTCGAGGCGGCTGTGAACATAGAAAAGACGCAGCTGGGGCGAGGGATGGGGGCGCAACCCCAGACTTTGAAATAAGGCATGACGTTTCGATAAGCCAACAGCTAGGGAAGGCCATGAACGCGATCGACCGACGGCCGGGAGTACACACAAAATTGTCCGCCCTAACTAGAGAGAGCATTATGTTCAGTATTGCCTCCTGGAAAAGCGAAGGAATGCCATAAATTTTCTCGTTCAGCGTCTTCACTAGGCATCGGAGTCTATCCACCGGTTGGGTTGACGGTGGCCCAACGCCTGAAGGGGGAAGCCCGACGCGCCGTGCTCTGCCAGGGAGTACCTTCCTTCGCCACTTGCCCCCGCTACGGGTGAATCGTTTCTAGGCGTCTTCGTCTCGTCATCCCGATCGTCATCAGTAGAGTTGTCGTCGGAGTCTCTAGGGCGGCTGGAAGGCTTTGCTCGTCTCGAGGGAGCTGTCTTCGGGGGGGCTACCCTGCTCCAAAGGCAACACCGGCAGACAAAATTATCCCGTTTCTGAGGGAACGGTTTGGTCGTCATTATTGGGACGGCACCATAGTTGGTTGTCGTGATGGGACACAAGCAAGAAGGTGTAGCCAACCGATAAACCCGAGCAAGACCCGACACATCGACATCGGTATCTCTCCATCGGTAATACCTCTCCACCAGACGAGCTCTTAAAGAGCAGCAGCACTTGGAGCGAACCGTCGATATTTTCAGTCTGCCGAAGGGTGAAAAACACACATGCGGCGACCTACCGTATGCCTTTCGTCTTTCGACGTAGTTGGACCGGGACCTTCACGCCGCCAACTGGCGAAAGCAACCAAGCGATGCATTGGCCTCAGATACAACAGTACACGCCCCTCTAACCGGTCCCCAATAGCCTACAACAAGGCCACCCGATTACGAATAGCAACACAACGGACACAACACCATGGTGATTCTTGTTGAATCATTCTCTGTATTTTCCGTTGCTCTTACCCGGGAGGAGGTGCGCCGCGTCCCCGGCGAGATTTCCGCAGCAATTCTGCCGGGGGAGGCCCTGCCGGCGAAGGGTACGCTTTCGCAACAACCCCCCGCGCGCCTCCGCTGCTATCTCGCTTGCAGTCGTCTAGACACTCACTCTCCACTTGCGCCTCCTCGTCAGCCTCTTTCGCCGCGGTCTCCAACGCTAGGACGGCGGCGGCGGCCCGCCTGCGTTGTTTCTCTACCTCGAGGTTCAAGTTGTTTCCCCCGTGGTCCTCGAAATCTAATGCAACCGGTCTGGAATTCCCTGAGTGCGTCAGTGTTGCCTCGGTACATCGCGGTCGCTGGTGAGCATGCGTGGATGACGACCGGGGTGGGCATTTCGTGCAAAGGACGGGTTATCAGAGGCTTCGTCCCCGCGGATTCGTTAGACTACAGCTGAAACGAGAGTACCAAGCAGCCCGCCTTGCGCGAAAACACATGGCATTCTAAACCTGGTGGTGCAGGTGATCAGTGACCGGGGCCTCACATCTGGCGTTTCTCCGCCATCGTTCCACTCCAGATCCGCCGCGCTCCTCCTTCGACCATTCGTCGTTGGCTTCGGAAGGCCATCCGAACCACCAGTATTCCGCTCGCAATCTGTAGTGCTCGGGGATTCAGCTAACTTGTGTGTCAGGAACTCTTTCGGCGGAGGGACACCGCCACTGAAACCCACGGCCTCCGTGTCACGCCGAGAAATGTGTCGGTGAAGTCGAGACGTTGCCGACTGCCCCTGGTGAGGACCCTCCCAATCTCCGATTTTGAGGCGCGGGACTGCTAGGTCAATGTCCGCTTCCTCGTCGACCTCTTCCTTCTCTTCGTCCTGGTTACTCTTTCTGGGCACGCTCGCAGGCGCAGGGTTGTCTTCGGGTTGTCGCACTTGTACGATGTGCGCAACGACTGGGCTTTCGCCTTCGTCAAGCTCAATGGTTTCCACGTTTTCGTTGTCGGACGAGTAGTAGGCTCTCGATTTCTTCGTCATCTCGTCATCCTGTGACTCTGGTGGCCGTACGACGACCATGTCGGAACTGACAGTGCTGCCTTTCTCCCCAACACTCGTGGGATTTAGGCCCTCGTCTAGACGACCCGCGTATTGTCCACACGGTCCTAAGTCTCTTTCGTCTGCGACGTCTTCATGGCCATCTTCGTCGCTGGCACTCGACGGGAGGCCCGTGAAACATGACTTTGACGTAGCACCCGCGTCGCGGTCGTCTCTTGTGTCACCAGCATTCCTGCAGTTCCTCGTGGGGCTGGCAGACGTATCGCTGCTTTCTTCCTCGTCATGACTGCTCGCCTTTGCGACACTCTCGCCTCCACTTCCCCTCGAACGTTGTCCCTGCTTTCTGCGCCGGGTACTTCCCTTGTCGCAGGTGTTTCCACGGTGGACGAGCCTGCCACTTGAGCGTACCAATCTTCTGTCTTCATAATCCTCACGACGCCGATGGCATGGACCCTTCGAGACACGTTCATTACCACCCCTTCGGCCACGTTCAGCGTCGCCTCGATGGCGTTGTTTTCTCGCCACGTTGCGTGAATCTCTACGTGGTGTGCTCCACGATGCGTGGGGCTCTTCAGGCGCTCCATGATCCCCAGCGCTCTGGCCGCGGTGTCTCCCGTTGCGATCTCTTTTTATATCGTGTCCACGAGCTGTTTGGAAATACTCTGACTGTGAATCGCTCTCGTTGGTCGAGGGACTACTTTCTACGCCGTCCACGCTGTGGTTTTCTTGCGGGTCGATCACTGGCTTGTCGCGATCTTTCGCAAATGACTTGTCTACTACAGCTGGAGTAAGCGAGGTGTCGGTTGGGCTGGTCATCCGAAGGTCATTCTCCATCCTCCGGACCGATGCGTTGCCTGCTGCGTCAACGGGGCAACGCGGCCAAGCGGGCACGACATGCTTCACGACTCAAAGGGGTTCGTTAACGGTTTCAGTCATGCCACGGTGGATGGGTTGGGGGGTGTAGACCACCGTTCCTCAAAGGTTTTACGTGTGAAGCTATCTAGCATTTCATGTATACATACAGACAAGACAATATGGAATCACCAGTGATCGTAACTTTAAGTGCGTGGATATTCACGCGCCAAGAGATTTGAACGGGTACACTCTCAACCGTAGCGCGGCAATAGGAACAGCCGGGGTAGGCTCCACACTCGCATCAGCAGTGATGCTGTTGTGCAGAACACAGAAAAAAAATAGTTCTCACGTCCGAGAATCGCGAATGCGTGTGGGCACAGCTTGGCCAGCCCCGTCACCCACAGGTTGTGCTGGGCCCTTGTCTGTGCATACAGGTGGAGCGTACGTGCCGCGGAGGTAACAATTATGGTGTCCTGGTCTTCCGCTATCTCGGTTACATCCTTCAGGTAGATCCAGCCACGGATCTCAGGGACGTTGAACTTCTTGTAGTAGCAAAGCGCCAGCTCTTCGCTTCCCTGTGCGCATGAGCCGGCAGGCAGGCACGACCGGGAGGATACCGTTTGAAATTCGTTACGGATGCGGTCGTGGATTTGGTACTGTTCGGCATCAATTGGACGGTTCTGCAAGTACTCGAATAAGCTGAATGTAGTATCTAGCAGGGTTCTCTCACCCTCACCGGAAATAATACAACCTCTATCCATTTTCTCTTGTTCGAACAATGGGACGTTTATTTTCTCGAACTGCCGTGGAGATCGCCCCTTCACGATCTCCACAGAACGAGATCGCCATTCTTTTCGACGTTTTGTGCAGCTTGTTGTCTACCTGGTAAGTACGTACCCCGAGATGTCCATGATCACAGAGCAGAGGGAACACTGGAAAACATGTAGATTTGACGCTCATACTTGATTATTAGCGCACCTCGATGCTCTGGATTTTGAAGTATCGCTTGTTGATATCCCCTGTCAGGCCGTGGAGCCGACTGAGCTTAGATTTCTCCTTCATCAGGTACCCCTGTAGCTTCAATGCATCCTCCATCCCTTCCCCTATGAATCTCGAGTCTAGATGCAATGTTGTATGCGCCGGGCGTGCATACTCTCCGCGGCCAGTAACGAACGATGATTTCGGGCATTGTTACCGATCTGCTGCCTACACAGCAGCAGACAGGGCTCGTTGGTCGTTTCAGAGGAACCGGAACCTTTCGGGGGGTTCGTGACGTGGACTCTCCCCTGGGTTATCTCGAGGGTACAGGGTGCGAAGATGGCCACAAACTCATCTGGCAAGCCACTGCACTGCGGCTGTGCCCTCAGTTAGGAACATGGCTGCTCGTCCACTGGTGCGTATTGCCGGCCTCAAGCCTTCGGTATCTCATCGATGTCCCCTGCCATTGCTGGGGAGACTCGGTGCCACAAGCAGCAGCAATCGGGAGAGCGGAGCAAATGATCGACACGCGAGAGCACAGGCACTGGTTTCACAGGCTCGAGATATTCACGTCAGTCGGCGCAACGAGTCTTCTGTGCTGATTACCGGTGCTGGAATCGCTGTATCCGCCATGGTCGCTCGCTACGGTCTCATGGAGTATCAAAAATACCAGGTCAGCTTTCTCATGAATAGCAGTCAGGTACTGCAACAGCGTGTGGTTTTCATTTCGGTCTCATGAACACTACAGAGTACTGCTGTGCTACTTTGCTGTACACTGCTGTCGTCTACGCAACTGTCAACTCAGCAACTCAGCCCTCTTCGAGGTCCCAAGTGATGATGCACCCACCGCCGTGATTGAAAACTAGCTGCGTGGTGCTATAAACTTGGGATTTCCACTGAACCAGTACGTATTCTTCCGTGGTATGCATAGCTTCTACCTCATGCAAAACGTACTACACTAGTATTTTACAGTGAAGTCCTCCTACCGCAGCACTCACGCCACGATTGCTACTCGTGGGCGGCTCTTGACTTCACTTTCACCAAACACCGACCCCACGACTATTTTCTTCCAAGGAGATTCCATCCAAGCACCTGTTTCCTTCTTAGCAAGACCGATAAGATCAAAGTCTAGGTGTTCCTTTACTGTCGTTGTGTGGAAGAACGGACTTGGGAAGCGCGTGGAATTGCTTGCTGAAAACAGTGTCCGTGAGCCCCCAGCGGTAAGTTGCCATCATCGCCATCGTCCTAATTTAATCGAGGAAGGCATTTTATTATTTTATGGGCATGGTGATGCTGCTGGCGACGATGCTGCGGGTGTTGCTGTTACTGCCGTTGCTGGTGTTGACCCGCAGCAAAGTCCTGCGGCGGTCGCGGTGACTACGCATCGCGCAACGCAACCGGGGCGCTGTGTTATTCAAAAGAACAGAGAGAATGTTGACCAAGAGAGAAGAACGGCGCACACGGGAGGAGAATTGGAAGAACGTGTTGTCGGGAGTCAGTGGAGAACGTTTAGATATACCGCGTGGGCCCGGTAACTAATACTACTAATATCCACCGAAGGGTGGAATCAACAGAGCCCTACAGTAGCGCATGAAATGGCGAAATGGCTCGAGATTACGCCGAAGTGCTATAATGCTCTGAGGAAATGGATAGAGCGCCACGAAAATCTTTCTGCGGAAGAAAGCGAGAACTCACTCAACCGGCCGCGGCATCGGAAACGAAAGGGTAACTCTGCTACTGTCCTGGGCATATTCTTCAAACTAATGTCGCAACATCCATTGCGGGGGATAAGTGACGGGTGGCGCACGGCGTGTAGGCACGAGTGCTCCCTCACGTTTGGTACCTACCGTCGCTGACCGTTTCTTAAGTTTGAACACATGGCAGGTGATTAAGGGCCTCGGCAAAATCCAAAACATCCAGACACCGGCTCAACTGTGTACCACGTTGGACCAGGAGGTGGCTGGCACCTCTGCCCCTGAATGAAGGAGTAGGTTGGAGAGAAAGAATGGCGAACTGAGCCACAGTAGTACGTACAACGATACACACACGCGGCGAACGCGAGAGACAAGGGGGCTCTGTGGATATTTGTATTGCTTGACCCCTTTCATCCTCTCGCGCGCAGAAAGAACGAGAGCAACGGAAAAGGGAGCGTGAGAGAGAGCGGTAAGACAGAGACAGAAACAACGACGATAAGTTGCCTTCCAAACACACACAAAAACCCTGCCGTTGAAAAAATCTCCAACTGTACTTGCGAAACAGCAGCGTCAGGCCAGCACCCATATCCACCGTATAGTTATGCACTCGTGTTCTGTTTTCGTTCTCTCTCGCCCCCAAAAATAAACATGTGGAGAATAGAGGCACATTGCACGGCGTAAATTTTCACGATGCGCAGCTGATATACTTGGCGCAAATATCACCACAGCGTGAAGTGATTGCAAAATCAGTACCTGTGCGGTTTTCGGAGACAGCCTCCACCAGCAACACCTTTTTGCCGGCGCTTGCATCTTTCACACAATTTACGAAAGCGCTCTGATAACATCCCAGTTTGTTTTCTGCCCTTGTCCACTTCCGCCCAATGGCCGTCAGATGTTACCTTGCGCGGTTTTGCCGTCGGAACTCTGGTGGGACAACATCAACCCCGTGCAACGTTGAGAGGCCTTTGGAATAGTGCCCCGTGTGCCATTTCTGCCCTACTGGTGCCGTGGGGACTACATGTAGCCTTGCTTGTTTCTGAAGGCGACTTTTCCCCGCCCACGTGATCCCGCACAGGCTGCCCATCCCGAAATCACGGAAGAAGCAGACTCGGGAGCAGCAGGCGACCAAACCGCAGCTGGCGAGACAGGCAAAGCTTCGCCGCAAGGTGCCGCTAAAGGCGCAGGAGCAAGCGCCGGCGGGTTTTTCGGAGCGTTCGGGAAACGGCACTACGATGGGGGGTTCGAGGAAAAGATGACTAGAAAAGAAGCGGCCCTCATTTTGGGAGTACGTGAAAGCGCAACTGCACAAAGGATAAAGGTGTGTGTTTGTACAACATGCATGACCTCGAGCCTTTTCCAGCCCGCTGTCCAGCAACATTTTGGTTCCAGTGGGTCGGCAGAGAAGCCCACTTGAGCCGTGGTAGACACGGATATTGTCAAACCTTGTCCTTGTCACGGACGAAGCAACAGCAGCTAATGCTGTCCTTGGAACTCATATGTTTCGACACGGCGAAAAATCCGAGCGTTTTGTTTGACAACCCGCATCCCGTGATTTTCACCGTTTCTCGCTGGCACCGTTTTTTTTTGCGTCAGGACTCCCACCGAAGAATTTTGATGATCAATCACCCCGACAAGGGAGGGTCCAAGTACATGGCGGCCAAGATTAACGAAGCCAAGGAAATCCTCCTCAAGGGAAGAAAATAGGCTTCCGGCGGTGGTGACTGTAGCACAAAAGAGTGGCGCTTGTATTCTTGTTCGTGTTTTCATTCGGTTGCCTTGTTGGTTGCGTGGCAGTTGGGGACTGCCGTTGGTGTTGAGGTCCGTGGTGCTGTAACAACTATTGGCGGAAGAACTAAATGGTCCCTGCTCCGCTTTGGATTGCGGCAAGATACCTGCGAATTGTGTACACACGTTTGCGTATCCGCTGCTGACAGGGTGGTAATGGAGCCTCTCAATGAGTGCTGGTACCGGACTATTGGGTCATGTGGCATGTCCATGTCCAAACCAAGCAAGTTCACGACAGCTGTTTACTGTAAATCATGCCCGATGCACGAGATACTCCAATGGAGTGCCTCAAGACTGACTACTGCTTGCTGTAGCAACACCCCCGGGCCCGTGCGACCCTGACATCTATAGCCATAATGACGGCCATAACCTTGAATCGGAGAAAAGACACGAACTGGACAAAAACCTGAACCGCACTGGTTTCATGCTCTCATACTACTTTTACAACTTTCATGCAGCAAAAGAGCCCTACAGCACAACCAAAAATGTATACTTATGTTTTTCAGTAGTGAGGCGAAGGCGTGGGACCTGCCTCCTCCGGCACCGTAGAAATACACTCCCACGCACCCTCCAGGTTCTGCTTCCAGAGCGACACATCGCTGTCACCCGACGACACGGCGAGAACGTTTCCGGTGATAGACCAAGAAACACGCCACACCGGCGCCGGGAAGGTCTTCATTTCAGCCGCTGCCCAGGGTCCCGAGGCTTGCGACTGCGTCCAGATGACCACACCTCTGTCCTCCGAACAGCTGGCGACGATATTGCACGGCATGCCCGTCGCGGGCGCCCAGGCCACGTCTCGCACCCAGTCCGAGTGCCGGGGGGAGGAGTCATGGGAGCTCCCGTCTTCTTTCCACACCGTCTCCCCTACCGCGCATCTGCGTATTATTGGTCGGGTGCAAAACGTTCTTAGTTGTTGTCCAGAGAAGTGTGATTACCTTCAAGCGGCGGAAAACAGCCGAACCGCAATGAGTTTCTTTGCTAAGTTCGGGTTTACTGCTCTCCGCAATTCTCTATATAGTGCCTGACGCAACCAAGTAACATCTCAATCAGATGTCGGGCAGAAGAATGATACAGCTTATGAGTGATCTTCGTCTTTGGTCCGAGGGAGGGGCACATGGCAAATGGCGCAAATCTGTGTTTGGGATAGAAAGCTAATCTGCTGCAAGCTTGGGAACCCTTCGAGAGAGAAACAAGTCGTCACATGACTGCAGGCCCCAAGCACATGATTGCACAAGCACTAGAAAACATGGAAGTGCCACCTTCGCTCTACGCGATCGTGGAATTATTTTTTCGCTTCCAACCCACGACCCGGCTTACCTCCAAAACCTGACCCGGTTGTCGCAGCTGCCGGTGACTAGCCGCATGTACACTTTCTCGCCCTCCCTCGATCCCAAGCTGTTGAAAGGCGCCCAGCTCACAGAGTTACAGCCAAGTTTGGAATCTTGGATGAATGTGGTATGCCACTCGTCGTTCGGCTGGTGCTGAAGAATGCTCACGCGGCCGTCACTCGAAGCGCACGCGAGCATCAAGCCTAGCTCATGGGGCGCCCATGCAATGCTGTACAGCAGCAAGCACGGGATAGCGTAGGGCGTACAGTAGTAAAGGGTGTGGATTTCATTTTTCAATTTGCCACCTGAACGCTTTTGGGGGCCAACTAACTCTATTATAGTGCACTGCAATCTGGCAAACATATGCAAGGACCATAGCGCAACGCTCGGCAAATCGCTCGGTGGGGAGTATTGTATGCATTTGATCTGGAGACTCGGGGTGAAATACGATGGATGTGGGACGGGCCACGGGGCAACCGACACCAACCGCTACTGCGTGACCTGCGTCATGTTACTGCTTCAGAACCGTAACCACCACTCGAATGTAGTATTCTGGGATCGAGCACAACGCGCTACAGCAGTAGCAAGTACCAGGATGTCTTCCAGCAGTCCGGCATGCGAATGATGTTGTTCCAGAGAGTGAGACGTTTCGAATACTGTGAGAAATCCACCGTTCGCGTTCAAAGTTAGTTATCCGCACCTATTTACACTGGACGTATGGAGTTCGTGCTTGTGTACCGGGCTCCAGGTTCCCGGCGGCGTCTCCCGGTGGATGATGACGGATTTATCGTAGGAGCAGGAAGCCAGGAGCACGCCAAACTTCGGGTGTGCCCATCCGACTTGCCAAACCGGACCGTCGTGCCCGGAGAGAGAGTCGAGTTGGTTGTGGTGGCTGTCCCCGACAACCTCGAAGATGTTGATCTTGCAATCACTTGACGCGGTAGCGAGCTTCTTGCCATAGTAGTCCAGCTGCGCGTCGTGGATGTTACCGCTGTGATGTGTGTCTATCGTTTGCAGGGCGGTCGTAGCCATGCTGCGGTTGCCCCGTGTCTATTCTCCGCACCTAAGATGTGGATGTTCACACGAGAGACTGCTAGCAGCACCCTCGAACACACCCAAGCGTGTACCTCCACCACTAGACACGGCAGACTAAGGTGCCAGGCGTTTGCACAGACAGAGCAATTTCCAAAAACAGCAGGTGTACGTGCGCTAGCAAGGCAGCCGGTCGTCGTTGGCTCTGTGCCTGCGCTCCCCTTCGTGTCTTCCGTCGGTTCGGTATTCGGTACTCCGTGCTGTGCTCACAGGTGCTCAGCAGGTGGTCCCAGACTGGACGCGAGTGATCGAGGTGTGCGTGAAGAAGTATCCACGGAGCCCCCTTGTGTCTCGCGTTCGCCGCGTGTGTGCGTCGTGTGTGTGTAGCTCAGTTCGCGATTCTTTCTCTCCAATCTACTCCTTCGCTCAGGGGCAGAGGTGCTAGCCACCTCCTGGTATCGGTCCAACGTCGTGCCTACACAGGTGAGCCGGTGTCTGGATGTTTTGGATTTTGTCGAGGTTATTTCATCACCCGCCATGAACATCAAACCCAAAAAACAAGGTCAGCACAGCGGGAGCGAGAGTTTACCAAACGAATTAGGGAGGACTCGTGCCTTCACGCCGCGCTGCCCACCCCTCACATATCTCCCGCAACGCATGTTGCAACTTATGCTTGAAACTTCTGCCCGGGATTGTTGCTGGGCTGGCTTTTCGTTTCCGAAACCGCGGCCGGGTGAGTGCGCGTTCGCTTTCTCAGAAAGGCTCTCGCGTGGCGCTCCGTTGACGTCCTCTAGAAACGGCGTTCTCCAACGAAGGACTCTGGCGTACGCTATCAGCCGGAGCAATTCGTTCTGTTTCGCCGAGAGTGTTGCTGGTTCCCTCATTCGCTGCCTTGCACCACCGAGACCATCCGCTAGTTTAAATGTTCTCGACCTGATTCCCGACCGCTGCACGTTATTCCCGTTCTCCTCCCGTGTGCGCCATTCTTCTCTCTTGACTCGACATTTTCTCTCTCTCTTCTTTTGAATATTATTACACGTCCCGGCTGTGTTGTCTTGCGCGACGCGTATTCTAGTCACCGCGGCCGGAGGGCGTTGCTCGGGTCAGCACCAGCACCAGAACCAGCAACAGCCGCAGCATCATCAGCATGCCCAACAGCAATGCGTTCAACGACTCGGACGATGGCGATGACGCCGTGTGCCCCCTCTGCTGCGAGCCCATGGACCTCTCGGACAAGAACTTCGTCCCGTGTCCGTGCGGGTACCGGGTTTGCATGTGGTGCTGGCACCGCATCAAGGAGAACTACACCGGCCTCTGCCCCGCGTGCCGCTCTGAGTACGCTGACGACCCCCACGCCTTCGCCGCGGTGGACAAGGAAGAGGTCATCAAGAACGAAAACAACAAGAAGAAGCGGGCCAAGCAGAGAGACACCGACTCGACCGGCGCGGCGGCGGCGGCCGCGGCGGCTCGGGAGCACCAGCACGCCCTGCACCTCAGACACCACCACCAACACCAGCAACATATGCAACACTTGCATCGAGAACAGGTGCAGCAGCAGGGTGGGGGCAGGGGCGGGGGCGGGGTGGGGGGCGCGACCTCGGTGGCAAACAGGCGCGAGCTGGCCAACATGCGCGTCGTGCAGCGCAACCTGGTGTATGCGACCGGTTTACCGGCCGGCCTGGACTCCGAGGAGGTGCTGCGAAGACCGGAAAACTTTGGGCAGTACGGCAAGATCTACAAGGTGAGGCTTGGCGCTTCTTGTTGAACTGGTATCGGGGGCGACCTACCCTTGAGAGCCGTGCCTTCCTTCTTTGTCAACCGGACCCTCTTCCTTGTCAACCGGACCCTCTTAGCCTGGTGGGTGATGCATGTTTCTGTGTTCTGTATTCATGTGTACAGCTGTCTCGGTACATGCCACATTTATCCGGTATGCACAATTTAGTGCTCGGGGCCGAGATTGCTTGTCGATGTCTCACCCCATGGTGGGTGATGATGAGGTTGCGGTTCTTTCTACGGGTGTGTCATTTTGATGATTGGAAAGACCTGTCGCTGGATGTGCGGTCGTTGCGCGTAAACGTTAGGCTGCTCCTTCCTGTGCAATATGGCAACTTTGGTCCCCACGGCGCCCCCCCCCCCCCCTCCTTCCTGGCGCAGGCGCTCTTCATGAAGATTAAAATTTCAAAAATTGGAAACATAATAACCCACCTGAGCACATGCTCTGTTTTGCTTGTCTTTGGGAGAAAAAAAAAATGGCCCGTGTACTTGGCAAGCTCCCGTTGCTCGCCCGTTTCATATTCCCGTCATCACCTCTGAGTTGTGTAGACGGTTCCAGCACTGCTCAGTGGTAAGATCAGGCTTCCGGCTTTGACGAGGGTGGCGCAAGCTTGCTCACATGTTATCCTGCACGGCAGCAGTAGTGTTTTGCAACCTGGAGGTATGTTGAGTGAGTGCATGCAGCCGTGTGTGGGCGAAATCGTTTTTCTGAGAGGTGGCCTGACTGTTTCGCAGTCTACTTGCTCTGCCTGTATTTGTTAGTTTAGTTGGGGTGGGAGGGTTCCTTCCGACATGTTTATTTTTGTTGCCAGCATGTACTCGCCGAGCAATCGCGAGCCACTGTTGGTCTACTATAAAAACATTCCTGATTCACAGGAATGCACGACGGACAGATCAGACGCGCTGTTTCTGGCCTGGTCGCTTGTTTCGGCTGCCTCCTTCGTGATGAATCCGACCGATGTCCACTTTACCCCCCAGTGCCCCCACGTTACCCCCCAGTGCTTTTCCCCACCATGCAGCCCGATGACGAGGCACTCCTTTCCGAGTTGTTCTTGTGAGGGACCGTGCGCCAACCTTCCTCTCCTATTATCCCTGCTGCCGTTGTAACCACACTCCTACAGATCGCCATCTCAGTTTCACAAGCGTCTGAGCCGCGCCCGGGGAACTTCAGCGCCCATATCACATTCGCGCACAAAGAGGATGCTCTAGCCTGCATCCTCGCCACAGACGGGTGAGTCCGCACCCTCGCCAGCACTATTACACGTTCCCGCCCGCCTCGGCGCTGTTTGTATCAGCAGCATGAGGAATGCGGTATTCGTCCCCCCCTTGCGTTTTTGTGTTTTGCAGAGGTTGGGTTACGCTCCAATTGTGGGCTTCGTCGTGTGTTTGTTGGGTGCGTTGAGAATTTTCCGCTGGGTTTTTCATCCGGGCTTGTGTCTGGTGGCTTGGGGCAGAGGATAGTGACAATTGTTGTCGTGGGCACACATGTCTTTCACGGGTTTCTCTCTCCCTTTTTTGGCAGATTTTGTGCATGGCAGCATCGCGAGTCAGTTCTCTGCCGTCGCATCCCGTCACTTGTCCTCGGCGTGTACAACAGGAGTCCCGGCTTGTTCTCAACTGCTGTTTTGAACCAACTGCTACTCTTGCGCGCATGAAAATACTTTTCTCACCCACCCCCGCTCTCGAAACCGGCAGGTTTTGGCTCGAAGGCCGACAGTTGCGCTCGAACTTCGGAACGACAAAGTACTGCGCGACGTACCTCCGGAATTCCCCTTGCTCGAACCCGGACTGCCTATACCTGCACGAGCTAGGAGACGAGGAGGATCGCTTCACCAAGGAAGAGATTCAACAGCGTTCCCTGCTAGCCCCGCCAATCCCTCCCGGCGCTGTGACGGTGACGGGAGGCGGGGGACCCAGCGGGACCGGTATGCGATGCAACTCGCCGTATCTACCCCCGCCGGTGTACGAGTCTTCCTCTAACGGATCGAGCCATAGAGAGAGCGGGACGCCGGCAAGGTCGCAGGGGCAGCAGGGGGCAGCGGCTGCTGGTGGGGCGACGGCGGCGCAGCGGGCGGCGGCGGCGAGAGGGGCTAAACCGGCCGGACAGGTACTGAAGCGTGTCATATGATTTACAACCCGTTTGAGTACCGCGATGTATCAAATGATTGTTCAGTACGTGACCGTTGTCGCGTCAGAGTGGTGGATCATATCTCACGCGTGTCAGGCGAGGCGGTTTTCGGAGAAATATTTCCGGAACGTCAAGTACGAAACTATCCGGTAGGTCGTAGTCAAGGACGTACCACCCACTTGTTGTACAGGGATGCGATGTGAATGCACGATGTTCTCAACATCGAGTCTCGGCCGCGCGGTTATTGGTTGCAGCGTAAGGCACGGGGAACTGCGTGCATCAGCTCGCACGTCCCCCAGCGTTCGTTCTTGTACACTTCGCCATTGCATTATTAATAGCGAGTTTCCCTCAACCAAGGTGCTAGCGATTCATCCCTTTACTGTACGTCGCTATTCAACCTCTTGTTCGGAACCGTTCACTTTGCAGGCTGCTGCAGCGCCAACGGCGTTGAAGACCTCGAGCTCCACTGGGGTGGCCTGGGGCGGGGCAGGGGCAACAAATGGGCCAAGTGCTCAATCGTTGGGGGAGCGAAGCGGGGTAGCGGTGGTTACCCGGGGGAAGGGGCCCATGGGCGTGGCCAGCCCCACCGCGTCCCCTCACCTCCAAGCGCACAACCCCACACGCCTGCAGGAAGAGTGGCCTTCACTTGCAGACACGGCCGCGCCGGCGCCGGCCCCAACGCCGACGCCCGCCGCCACGACTACGAATCGCACCAGTAGGAACCGCCGCAAGAAGGAGAAGCAGCAGCAACAACAACAGCAACAACAGCAACAGCAACAGCAGCAGCAACAGCAGTTGCCAAAAGAAAGTGGGGCGACTGCTTCTGCTGCTGCACCTCCAAAATCGCCACCTCAGGAACGAGCGGCGTTGGCTCCAGCTGCTGCTGCTGCTCCTGCTGTCGCTGTGCCCTCTTCGCCTGCTCCGAGAAAGCCTCCCGTAGTGTCGCAGCCGCCAGGCCTTGGCCCGGTAGCTGGGGTTCCTGCTTTGCCACAGACCTCTGCTGCTCCGGCAGGCGTTGCGTCAAGCCCAGGCGATGCAGCGGCGGCGGCGGCGGGTGGTCCACCTCTGGGACAAGATGGAGTAACCGGAACCACGTCGGCTGGTTCCCAGGATACATCGTCCTCGATGTTTTTCAACCCGTTTTTCAGCAACGGAGGGCGCGGTGCCGCCGGCGGTGCCGGCGTTCCAGACATGCCTTCGGTCGTCTCGGCGCCGCCCCCGCCAGGGTTTAGCGAGCCCCCGCCCGCCGCTGCCGCCGCTGCAGCGCCGAGCGGTCCTGCCACGGCATCTTCGTCCTCTCCGTCAACAGTTGCGTCATCTTCGCCTCTACAGGAGACACAACCGGCGCAGCCGGCGAGGTCGTTGTTCGAAGAGCATTTTGGCAGCGGCGGCGGCGGCGGCGGCGGCGGCGGCGGCGGCGACAGCGACAACGTGTTCAACGGCGGAATGTTCTCCTCGGCGGCGATCGGGGGGGGGCTTTTTGCCGGTGGGGCTGGGACTGGGCCCGCTGCATCCGCTGCTGGCACCGCACGCGCTGCTGGCTCACCGCCCCCCGGCTTGCCCTCTGCGCCTGGGGCGACGGACGTTCCTCGCGTATCGCAACAGCCCGAGCGATCGTCGCCCGCGGGAAGGGAACCGCAGGACTCTCCTGCCGAGCAGCCACAGCCAGACATTAAGGCGTCCATATCTGAGCTTCTCCACCGTCCGACGAAAGGATTGGGCAAGGGCGCGGCCGCCGATGGCGAGAGCGACCTGTCCTTCTCCTCTGTCGGTGCTGGATCAGAACCTACGGGCTATGGGCTGGACGGGACCACGTCGACACCGGCGCACGTGGCTGCGTCTCCGTTTGGTGCGGTGTCTGGCGGGGGACACTTCGGTGGTGCGTTCGGCAGCGCGTTGTTTCCAGTGTCAACGCACCAGGGGGGCGCCGCACGTGGCCACGGGGGGCTCGGGGGCACGGACGGTCCAGGGGCGGATCTTTCCGTGGACCCGTTCGCCAACTCGTCGGGGGCGCTTGCGCGCATGCTGGGGGTGACGTTGCCCCCCGTAGACTCTCACAGCTCCTTAGCGCGCAAGATGAGGTCGGGTGTCGGCGTTTCGCCTGTTGGTGGGGCTATGCAACAGGACACGTCGCCGTCGCGTTCGCACGTGCCGCCCCGTGGCGGCGGTGCCTACGCAGATTTTTCCAGGGATATGGACCGCGGTCGGCCGGGGGCGCATGGTGGGCCTGGGAAAGCGGGGGCTCGGGACGCCTCCGGCGTGGAAAGGGGCGGTGGAGCACGGAACGAGTACGGGGGTATCCACAAGGGTGGCGGTGCGCTCCAGGACAACCACCAGGCATCGCGCTTTTCGTTTGCCCAGGACGATAACTCGGGCATGTCGTTCTCGCCCGCGAGGGGGTCACCGCAGATGGGGCCTGATCCGCGTGGGTCTCCCGGAGGGATGGGGAGCCCTTCTCACCCAGGGCAGCACCACCACCTCCACCACCACCACCAGTCACATGCGCATCGGCCATTCGGCGCAGCGGGACAAGGAGCGGGGCAATCGGTGACTCCACCGCAACTAGGCGAGTTTGGTGGTGGAGCCGAAGGGCATTTCGCGCCGCCGCCCCCGCCGCATCACCACCACCCCCACCACAGCCAGCACCACTTCCAGCAGCAGCAGCAGCAGCAGCGACAGCCTCCGCCGCCGCCACAGCAGCAGCAGCAGCAGCAGCAACAGCAACCATCACAGCAGCAGCAGCAGCAACAACAACAGCAACAACCGCAGTACTCTATTCAGAACGGGATGGCATTCCTGCAAAAGGTACTGCCGGGGGTATCGCTGTCCTACGGCGATGCCAACCGCCAACAACCGCCGGCTGGGGCCGGCGGTGGTGGCCAGGGGCAAGGGCAACCGCAAGGGCAACCACAGGGGCAGGGTGGTGCCTCCTCGGCGGGCGTGCCGACCACGAGCGGTGGCGTCGGGTGGGGAGACACAACGACACAACGCGTAGACCCGGCACAAGCGTTCGGTTCTTCGATGTGGACTATGGCGCCCGCCCCGAACGCTCCCCGCCAGCCCCAGGGCAGCCGGGGCGGGGGGTATGGTGCGTGGTAAAGAGTGGCGACTTGGTTGGGTGCGGCGGCTCTGCAGCCAGCCAAAGGTTGTGCGCACACGTAAGGTGGGCCATGCGCGTAGGAAGCTGGCGGTTTAGTTTTTGCTAGCGGATACTCTCGCACATGCGGGGATAAGCACCAAGGGGGCAAGGGAGCTTTTTTTTGCAACAGCTTCGTTTCGTTGCGTAGTCCATGTCTGGAGTGGAGTTGTCTTGGGGGTGTTTTATTTTCCGCGGTTTTTCTCCTCTGACTGGGGTGTGAAGCTGTAACCTCGCTCGGAGATGTGGAAAGAGGCCAGATGGGTGATCGTGTCCGCGAAACGGGTATCGTGAACCCTGTTGCGTGCTTACAGCAGTATTACCCGCCTCATCATATCCCGGGGTCGGCGGTTCACGTGCGTGGGCGTTTCCTGTAGCTGCGTGTACACCTACTCCGGTAGCTATGTTTTGAGAGGTGGTTCGAGCAAGTGAGGAGTCAATGGAAGACCCATACCGAGGCATGCGTGTTCGTTGTTTTTTTTGTGATTTTTTGTGCGTACGAGACAGGCGAGGCTGTGTTCCAACGTTCCAACACCGCTAATTCATTTCGTACATCTAAAAGAAAGTAGCAGGCGTTCCCCTCGAGCAAATCTACCGCAACCTCTGAATGGCCTCCTTCCGTTCCTGTAGCAGCAACTACAGGTCTTTTGCATCCCTTTGGCTGGCGACGCGACTGACTGTTTGCTAGGCCTCCTGGTGGGGCCGTTCTGTTCGGACTCGTTTGTCCCGTACATGTCCCGTATCTTACATGCACAATGCAGCTTTGTATTCGAGTCGCCGACGACGGGCATCACAAACTACACGCTTACACGAACACGAGCTACGCACGTGCCATCTAGTCAAGCTCAAACTCAGGCAAAGAAGAATTGGACAACCTCCGATCCGAGGCAACGCCGTGCACCGTGCACCGCACCCAGCTCTCCACCTGAAACCAAAACACCTTAATTGCCTACCCCAATAATTCTACCAAGTACTACTTAGATCGATCGGAAACCGCAAGACACCGAAGTTAAAGCCTGTTAACCAGATACCCGGAAATATACGGAGGGGCAGAGAAAGCCTACCCCGCCCCTCGTGCCTCCAATCGTACGCAACACAAACTCCGTTTTCGTTCGTCTTTCACCCACATGCAGCATACCCCAAACACAACACAGGCGAGCAATTCCGAGGTATAACGTCGAGCGTCGCCAAAAACCAACTCGAAGTGCGGTAGGCGCACTTCCGCAACCGTGTACAAAGCCATAATATCGCTACGCCGATGTTGCACTTGCCCCCCCCCAAAAAACAACTTGGTTGGTTCGATCTTTGGTCTTCTTTCTCACTGGAAGCATGCGCGTCAAAGGTCGACACGCCCAGAGCGGCGGTAGGCCGTTGACGTTCGGGACCATGAACTAATTTATCGATCACAGGTCCGGGTCGACGCCAGCCACGGGTGCCACCACGACCGGCGCCGGGGCGTCGGTATCTTCCATCTTGTCGCCGGCCGCCGCGTCGCCGTTTGTCTTATCGGTAGCCTTACTCCAGTAGCTGTCTAGCCCCCTGTCCAGAGAGGCAACCTTGGGGTCGGGGCCCTTGCCGGCCTTGAACCAGTCTGAAAACACAAATAAACAGAAAGAAGCGGAACAGGGGGGAGAGGTGTGGAGGACAGAGCAAGCGCTGACGGGGAGGCGAGTCGGGAGAAATCGGCCTGACGAGACCGGTTAGGGCCACGCACACTATCGGCGTTTCAATCAAAGAAAACCATTTGCGACGACCCTGACTGGCGCTTATGTGTAACTATAGGCACACAACGAGCAGTGGCGATGTGAAGGTTATGGGTTTACACACAACGGACACGCCGAGAGCTCTGTTGTCATGCAGAAACACCCAATCGATTTTTCCTACAAGGCTTAAATACTGGCACACGAAGAGTAACAACACGCGTCGGCAAGGTGCGGAGGTGGCCAAGTGCTGGGCGATCAACAGATCCAGCTCCTGTGCCGCTCCGTAGCCATGCTTCCAACACCCTCCACGCCTCCAGCCGTCCACACCAGCAAAGAACGCCTTCAAGACTCCAAGACAAGGAACTCCTCACACCACCCCCGCCACTGCTGTTGCCGTAGCAGTGGTGCATTACTCCTAATGACATCAACAAGCGCTCGCTCCCCCTTGGCTAAAATCGCCAGCAAGTTTCGCCCGCCATGCCACCACAGTCGCCTCAAACCGTGGCTGACGATTTCACCGCATTCGGTAGACTCGGTTTTCGGAAAGCCAAACGTCCGCAGATGTGAAGAAATGGTGTTTGTGTAGGTAGAGAGGAAACGACGAGGGTCCTACAGAAGATGGCATGGCATGGCATGGCATGGTAGGAGTGCTGACACCGACACCGGTTCTTGCCAAGCCCAAAGAGGCCTTCGCTTCGGACCACGATTCTCGAAATCAGACAGCTTGTGTCCTGGCACTACCGGCCTAACAACGTCCACCCTCAATGTACTGCAGTGCACACTGCCTGCCCGTTGTTGTGACAGCAGTGGCGCACACGTTTCACATTTGGCCGGGGCAAAACGCCGAAAAGCCAAGAGTCGTGGTGACACGGCAGCATAGCATACTCGTGGCAGCCTCCCTGACTCATGGCGACCAACAGAGGTAGAAGTAAGCGTTGCGTGGCGTGAAATCGATGGCCGGGCGGTTGGTCCTCGTGCCCGCCTTCTGTCACAAGAAGTGCGGCGCAACACACCCAAAGCGGCACGACAGGGGACGGACCACTCCGTCGCGAGCCGTGAGCCGTCAACCGGTGCCGCCGCCCGCGAGGATCAACACGCGCCAAGGGGACGGCGCAAGGGACAACCACGAACGCCAGAACCGAGTTCGATCATGCCCCCTGGCCTGGCCTTGCCCGCGCCCGAAAGACGAAGCGTCGTTGCCAAAAGCAACAACGACGCCGTAGCGTCACGCGACGTCGCCGACATGCCGGTGACGTCCGCAGGCGCCCGTTACCCCTCGGAAAGAAAGGATCAGCAAGAGGACGACGAAGATAGTTGATAGGACTTCCCGCGGTAAGGCGAACACAGCAGTGCTCTCGTTGCCCTTTAGAGTGGGGTCGTCCTTCTTTGACTTCTCGCTTTTCCTTTCTTTCCGCCGATCCACGCGTCGACAGGAGAACGGCTTCGGCGCCAGCAGCGCTGGCAGCTGCACGGCTCCGCTTCCGATTGCCCCTTCCTCCTCTCTCCGGAAAGAGGATAGGAGAGGAACTAGGATTAGGCTGCTTGCTCACATTCGTCGAGGCCTTCGTCCAAATCCGTTTCCTTCGCCGCCTTCTTTCCCGCCCTGCTGTTGGCGCTCCCGCGGCCACCCCTCCCCGCTCCGCGTCCCCCCCGGCCACCACCGCGGCCACCCGTGCGTTCGGCACCCCGCCCGACACCCCGACCGCTGGATGCTCCTCCTCCTCCTCCGCGCCCTCCTGTCCTCTGATTGTTGTTGTTGTTGTTGTTGCGGACCGGCATTCCCCCGGACCTCTGGTTCTGTAGCGACGAGGATAAGCACAGTGCACACGGCGAAGCATGGTGTAAGTTTGTTGGGGGCGGAAATCCTGTATCAGTAACGGCATAGGTTGGCTACTGTGTGCTTACTATGAATCATACCGACCATGTACATCGGCTAAGAAAAAGACGCGCAACAAAAACCAAAAACACGTCCTACAACTGAGCGGAGCAGGCTAGTATAGCTTACCCTGCCTCCGCCTGCCTGGGTGCTTCTTCCCCGCCCCCTTCCCTGCACGCGCTGGGGTGCCGTCTGCTGCCTTGGGGATACCACCTTGGACTGAGCTGCGCGCATCGCCGGCTTGGCGTTCGCTACTCCCTGACGACGTGACTGCGGGTTGGTCGGGGTACGACAAGGAACGAGTTTTTTTTTCTCAAAAGCCGCGTGACGGTGCCGTCGTGCAAACGAAATTACGCAGTATACATGTGTCTTTGCAAGAAACACCAAAACAGCTCCAACAACCAACAACGATCAACACGACTATAATAGAACGAAAACTTAAGGGTGGTTGAGGAACCAATCTAGTTGCTCTCCATACCACGGCACTGCTCATTTCCGGAAGAAACAAACAAACGAGGTGACTGGGCTTGTCCCTCTGCCGAACTTGCCCGTTGAGGCATTGACAAAAAACAGAGGGGGGAGCTGGGGCAGACCCCGCGCCGAGCACAACGCATGTTTCATGTAGAAAGAGAGGGGCGACTTCCACAGGCAAGCATCAATATTTCTTCACGCCGCGCTCACATCGACTTGGATTTGGCGCCCGACCTTGCGGCGTGAGTCCATTTCACTCCGCCGCTGGGAAATCCCGTTGTTGAAAACTAGAAGGAAAATGTACGGCGCAGGCAAAGGGGACGGCAGAATGAACGTTACAGATTTAGACGCAGGTGCTCGTGTTTACAGCGGTGTTGGCGTAACAGAGTTCCGTAGGTGTTCGAGCTATGGCGTTGCTGCATGGAGGGTATCGCACAGGCATTGCACAGAAGGGACCGTGAAAGCGGCCAAGAACAGATGATCTGATCTGATCTGATCTGATCGTGCACAGGCATGTAAGAGTTACGGCGCAAGGGTGCGACAATTCCGGGAAAGGTCACTCCGGGCGAGAGGGTTGCGTGATACTACGAGTTTGGAGACGCTTCTCCCAGCTGCAACGATTCTATCGTAATCCGTTGTGTACCGCCATATTTCACGTCGAGGTTCTACTGCTTTACAGAACCATTGCATCGGCACACGGTATCCACCCAACCAAGCTCACAAATGCACAGTTGCCGCAAGCATGCTACGACCTACCCATACAGAAGAGGTGCCGTTATTGGTAGAACGCACTTCAAAGGAAGGCTCGGAGAGGATGGATGGCTACAGAAGTACACCGCACGAGTACGAGTGATGACGCACATCCACTTTGACTTTAAAGCTCGATTGCTCCGCAGCTAAAAGGGTGCGAAACCCGACCGACACTCGCAAGGACAGCTCCACAGGACATTTTTCCAACACCCCAAAAAAAAAAGTACGAGCTATGCTATGAAAGTCGGTCTAAATGTGGGGGGTGTGCGAGGACGATCACGTTTACGGTATACTCCCCACTACAGCAGTACATCCTCGGACAAATCTTGCACACTTTCACTTGCCACGACCACTACCGGAATGATGTCTCGGTACGTCTTGATTTTTCGCACTGTGATGTGTTGGGGGTGTTTTGTGGGGGTATGACCCACATTTTGGAGTCATCACCTCGGCCGGTGCATGTATTCATGCAGGTACAGGCGAGAGCCGCTATGATACCCTCTCTACAAGCAGTATCGCTCGATACGGCGGTACAATTACGTTGTACACGTGAAATGTGAAACTCCTCCACAAGCTCAAATACTCCGGTTCCAAACAGGGATTGGAGCTATGGTACGGTGTGGACGTTTTGCACAGTGGCGCTACAAAATACCAACCAAATGATAAAAACAACTTCCGACGCACCCCAGCGTGCCATCGCTCCAACACTGGCTGGCGGCAAAGCGCAGCCGTTGTCGTCACGGTACAGCTGTTACCGTATGCATGGATTTCGTACTGCGATCTGCTGTATTGACTATCCAACTGCCTTCTCTCTCTAAGGATGAGCACGACTTCAGCGTTTCAGGTTACTGGTCATTTTGGGGTGTGAGCTGCTGTGTGTCTTTTGGTATATTGTACATTGCACCGAGGATCGTCTACCGGCCGGCCCAAGGGTGAGAAGATACGAAGGGAGCCGGCGGGGGGGGGTTGGATAGTGGTCGTGGGGTAAGAAAAGGTAATACTGGTCGATGATGAATGATGGTTGATCGCACAGGACAGCAGAAGATTGCGGCGTCCAAGCGGCCAAGAAGCCGGTGGCCAACAAGGCTACCCTCGCCAAGGCTACCCTCGCCATAAAATTAAGCTGCACACATGAAATCCTGCCACATTTCGGCATCGGCTCGCGAATGATCATATTGGTGTGTACATACATACATAGTGGCAACAGATTATACACAGATCTACTTTTGCAGCAGTCGAGACGTGTCGCGCGTGCCGGAAAAAAAACAAGATGTTCTATGCATGCAGACGAGCATCTACGAGGGTGCACGGAAGCTACGGGTTCCAAGCCAGACGACAGACAAGAATATAACAAAGTGACAACATACCAGGATTGGACAGCGATGCACAACTAACGTGCTCTCGAGTCCACCTCTTCGCCCAACAAGAGTCAAACGAGACTCGGTTGATCTGGTACCACTCATAGAAGTACTGCTTGCCGTGCATCTCGGTAAATTCTTGCCGCATCTAAATTTCGCAAGTTGGTTTTCAATTTCTTGTACTACCTTGCTGACACACACACCTGGCTTCACAATGGCACGGTTGGCCTCCATCTTCTCGAATCTAGCCGAGAGACTCATGGTGATGCTTGATCAAGTCTGGGGAACACAAGGGGGACGGGCAGTGTTGTGTGTGTGAGAGAGGGCACGGATGTGCGCGGGAGGCACAGAGTTCATCTGGAAAAAGCGAGGAGAAAACGGAAATCAGCAAAGAGAAGGAAAAAAATAAAGGGCAGTATCCAAGCCGTGCAACTCAAGCTCGCTTACCGCTGTCAGGAGAGAGAGAGGGAGAGAGAAGAGAGAAGGAAGGAAGCTGCTTGGCCGGTAGCGCGTGGATGCGTTGGTGTTTGTGCGTTGGTGTTTGGCTGGATTGGAGTGAGCGCGAGAAAAGAAAAAAAATGTCAAAGGCGAGAATTTCAGATGTCAAAACGCCTCTTTCGTTGAAACCCATGCAGGCTTCGAGCGCACACACCCCTCGAGCTCGCTGAGAGCCCCGAGGGTGAGCAAGAGGCCCGGAGGGGGGCCACCTGCAATCGTGGATTGGGCATCAGGAAAGAAAAGATAAGGTTGCGATGAATGATCTTGGCAGAAAGAAGCTGAAGACATGGCTTCAGAAGAGCCTTGGCAACCACCCCGAGAATGACAACGGGCTGGTCGCGTATGTCGAGGCCATAGTCGGGGATGCGGACGGACCGGTGGGTGTCTGCTTGTTTGCTGTGCAGTTGGTTGTACCTCCTACCGAACAGAACGTGTGCTGTGTGCTATCATAAATGTGTTCACTTGATTGAATTAACGCTTGTGTTTATTGCTCAGACACCACGCGGTTGATGCCTGGGACCTGTGAGTAAAATGCATTTCTGTTGAGGTAAGTGCCTCCCGTCTACCTGCTCTTGGTTTCAGCAGCAACAGCAGCGGTGCCAAGAGCCACGAGCTTGGTAGAGCACAGTATTGGTGCACAGCGGTGGCAATTCCTATTGTCAACAGTTATTCCACTCACTCACAGTCGCTGGAGATATAAAATATATGTATAATCCGTCCTCCAACGACCGTACCCACGGTCACAGCAGCACGAACAGAAAAATCAGTCCTTGTTACACAGGTTGTACACAGCAGTATATATTTGTAAGTGGGGCCGGTTTAGCACCACCTTGAACAGCGGTAGTTTCAGACGAGGGAGGGATGAACAATACCAGGTAGTCGCTTTTGCCGGTGTAACGGCTATTTGTCGGGGCGCGAAGGTGCCATGCAATTTCTGGTCACTGTATAGAACATGTCGCCAATCAGTCGCTAAACCGCCCCCCCCCCTTGCTGTATCGTACAAGAGTACAGCGGTATGCCTAAAAGGACGAAAGAGCATTGTAGCACCATTCTGTAAACAGCAGAGAGAGCATGTACTCAATTGTTTGACGGAAACGGCCCTGCCAGTATATTGTCTGTCCCACAAATCATAATAATCTAATCGCGCCGGCACAAACTACCCCGGCATCTCAGGACGATGATCTGCGAGAGAAATGGACGGAAAAGCTGGATGATTTCCTTGCCGAGAGCAGTGCAGACTTTACCAACGTCCTCCTCAAAGGTGTTCGTAACGGCGGGAACTTCGGCAGCGTTTGGAAGGGCGCCGGTGGCGGTGGCGGCGGAGGTGCTAGTACTGGTAGCGGCGTGGGTCGTGCCGAGGAAAGCAACGATGCTGGGACTCACGATGATATGAACGACGCCTCGGGGGAGGCTCCCGCTTCGAACATGGAGGAACACGAAGATGTCGAAGGTGATGCCCAAGAGGACTATCAAGAGGACAGCTGGGTTGACGACGGGAGGGGTTGGGAAGAGGAGGAAGATGAACAGCACCAGGAAGACGATGAAAACGACCAAGACGATGGCGACGACGATGACGATGACGAAGACGGTGGGGGCAGATCGAGGCGCAGCCGGCGTCGAGCGAGGGAGGAACCAGAGGAAGAAGAAGCCACGAAGCCGGCTGCTGCGGCGGCGATCAGCAAGGGGAGCGGAGCGAACAAGCGAGCGCGCGTCCAGGGCGGGCGAGGCGGGGATCGTGGGAAGAATCAAAACAGCGGCACCGTCGGGGGTAGAGGAGGTCGGGGAGGGCAGCAACAAGGCCGGGGTCAGCAGCAGGGCCGAGGAAACATGGCAATGCAGATGCAGGGAGGGGGGCGCGGCCCGCCGCAACAGATGGGAATGGGGTCGCTCGCGATGGGCAACCAGGGGATGATGATGGGACCCATGCCGGGGAGGGGTATGGGACCCGAACAGCATCAGGTATGACACGTAGATATACGTAATTGCGGCGTCGATCTATGCATACTTCGGGGTATTGTGCAATCACAAACAATGGAACACCTCACAATTCGTGAAGGATTTTTGGTGGGTCGTTGTATGCGTTCAACGCGAATGGACAACCTTGTATGTTCGGGGACATGACTTGATTGATCTGGAGTCATCGTGTAATGGACCAAGCAATTGTAGTTATTCCAGGGAAGGCGTTGTGAAACCTTCTCGGCCAAAGGGGGCTCGGCTCGAGAACCACGCGGTTGTCCAGAAAAGCTTGTGTGAGCGCGTACTGGCACGGTTTTAGGATGAAGCCCCAGAAACAAGTGCGCGAGTACCGAAGTCTGTCTCACGAGGTACTCCTAGAGTGCGGCTCACCCTGCACACGAAAGGCTAAACATTGCGAATGGCGCTTGGAGAATGCATGCCTGTATGGTCAGCGCAAACCCAGCCAACTCCGTCTAGGCTAAGAAGGGATGCGAGGGTCGACTGACGAACTGACGACCACGCAACATGATCATAAGAGCACCCCACACTCCGTCGTCCCCGGTTGAAATTGAAACAGGGTTACATGCGGATGTTTCTGAGCTAGACCACGTCACGAAGAAGTTGCACAGAATTGGATGCTTTTGTTACATAATCGAAACTCAACACGTCCTTCGTTGTTGTTCTCTTTGCCGTGCTTCCTCCCCTGTTTCCCAGGGCGGGATGGGGCCCGGGCCTGGGTCATGGGGAAGGGGGGGAGGTGACATGAACGCGGGGATGCCAAGAGGCATGCCTGGGGGGATGATGATGATGGGGCCACCGATGCAAGGAAGAGGTATGGGGCCTGGGGCTGAGCAATGGGGAGGAGGAGGCATGAACGCCGGTATGCCAAGAGGAATGCCGAGAGGGATACCCGGGGGAATGCTTCCTACGCCGCCTGCTTCGAACGATTTCTTGGGTCCGAGTGGCGGTGACGGCCGAGGACCTGCGCTGTTGCCAGAACCGCGGCCGCCAATGGGCGGAGCCAACATGGCGGGCGGACGAGGCCTTCCCAACCTGCCCACTTCAACCGGATTTGTGGCTCCACATGGTGGTGGGCGGGGGCCTATGCCGCGTCCGCCAATGAGCGGAGGAGCTCACGTGGCGGGTGGGCGGGGTCTCCCCGCGCCGGCGAATTCAAGCGGGCCAATGGCTTCAGGTGGTGGTGGTGGTGGTGGTGTGCCGGGGCCCGGGCCGCGGCCGCAAATGGGCGGAGCGAACATGGGGGGCCGGGGTGGGGGCTCGCTCGGGCCGGGAAGACCGATGGGAGCTAACGCAGTAGTCGGCCCTGGCGGTGGTGGTAGAGGTGGAGGTGGGCAAGGGATGCCCTTGGGGGGCGGTGTTCCGTCTGGAGGACGGGGAATGGGAGCTCTAGAAGGCGGGAGGCGAGAAATCACCCCAATGGCGGACAGGCCGGCTCAGGGGCCACAGCGAAGTCCCGTCCTTGGCCCCGTAAACGGTCCACGGGCGTTCGGGCCGGCGGCAGGAGAAGGGAACGGAGCCGGGATGCCTCGACTCGGGCCGCAAGACGGGCGACCACTCGGCAGGATGGATGGCCCGCCGCCACGCCTAGAGGCCAGACAAGAGTTCGATAACCGGCCAGGGGTGAACATGCCCCGTCGGCCTGACGCTCACGGCACCTCGGAGATGGGGCGTGGCCCCAATTCGCAGCCGGCGCCCGATCTCCGCGAACAGTTGAGTGGGCGGCAGAGAACCCTGCCAGACAACCCCAACGCCAACGCAAGCAAGGGGAGAAGCGTTTTCGACCGACTCGGGGCACCGCCATCATCCGCTGGGGGTGAGCAGGTGCAGCACACCAGCGCCCGTCACGGTCCAGACGCCCAGAGACAACAACACCCAGGGGAGGGGGGCGGCATGCGTAACGCCGGCGGCGTCCAGCAGAGACCTGGCATGCAGCAGGGGTCAGGCATGCAGCAGGGATCAGGCGTGCAGTCGGGACCTGATGCGCGGCAAGGAGCTGGCGGCATGCGTCGTAGTCCGACGAACAACCAAGCGGGCCTTCAGGAGCAGAGCAGGCAAGACATGCAACGCGGGCCGAGTTTTCCGGAAGGCGCGGGCATTGACAACACGCAAAGCCGAAGAGTTGGAGGTCAAGACGCTTGGTCAGGCGTGGGCAGCGGTGGTCGGCCAGGCCCTGGAGCTGTTGACTTGCAGAGACCCGGCATGGAGCAACACGGGGGCGCGGGGCGAAAAAGTCCACAAGGCATGGGGCCCGACCTCAACTGCGCTGGTGCTGGTGGCGGCCGCGGCATGCCCCCTGTGACGAATCGCGAGCACCCTGGAGGAGAGGTAGGGCGTGAAGGCCAGCGAAGTGGTGGTAGGCCGGAGTACCCGCCGGAAGGCCTCGGACGGCAGATGCCGAGACCGGATGCTAGCAACGCACGACACGGGTGGGCGAGACAACAAGGCCGTGCTGGACTCGACAGCAGTCACGGACAAAGGCAAGGACAGCGGCAGGGACAGGGACAGGGACAGGCACAGGGTCACCACCCACAAGCCTTAGCCCAGAATGCCGGCGCTCGTGTTCCACCCCAGGGGGTGATGGGCAGGCCAGGCGGCGGTCCATTGGACCAGCAGTCTGGTAACATCCACCGAGGTGAGGAAGGGCGGGGCATGGGATCCGAGTTTTCTCGCGGCGGCGACGTTGATGGCCGTCCGCACCGGTCTTCTGAGCGTGATGGCCCCGTTCGTGGGCAGCCTCAGCCGCAACCTCGGTCTCAGCCTCGGTCTCAGCAGCAGCAGCAGCAGCAGCAGCAGCAGCATCACCACCACCGCGATGCTTCCTCGTTTCAGCAGCACAACTCGGGTGCTGGTCGAGGTGCTGGTCAGGGGCGGCAACCGGGTGGCGGAGGAGGAAGAGGAGGAGGAGGAGGAGGAGGAGGAGGAGGAGGAGGAGCACCACACACGGGAGGCGGCTCGCTTGCCTGGGGAGGCTTCGGTGTCGTCAAGGAGGAAGCACCGCGAAACCACGGGCCGGGCCAAGGGGAAAGAGGTTTCGGGGGCGACCGCGGAAACGTGGGTTCTTCTTCCGGCCCTCGCGCCGGACAGCCAGGCTTTTCCCAGGACCGGTTCTCGTCGCAGCAGCAGCAGCGGCAGCAGCAGCAGCAGCAGCGAGGGAGCGACGGCGGTACGCTGCGCGCCGAAGCCCAGGAGTGGAGAGGCCCTGAACAACCGCCCCGATGGGCGACCCCGAAACAATCTGCTCCTCGCACGACGGTGAGGTGTAGGAGGGTGCCGGCTGACGTCGGGCCGGTGGAGCTCTCGCAGCACTTCGCGGAGTACGGCAAGATCGTGGACATGAGGCTCCGGGCGGCCGTGGCCGGGGACGGTGGCAACGGCGAGAAGGAGGCACTCATCCAGTTCGCGAGCTCACGCCAGGCCGAAGCTTGTGTGTCGGTAAGATCGGTGCCTTTTCTCTGCTGTGCCCGTAATGACATTCGTTTTGTTGCGTTTTTTTTTTTTCGTTTGTCGCTCGCGGTGTGGTCCGACCGAAAGTTTGGAATTTTTTTTTTGTCGGCGTGCCAGTGACGTTCTGTATTACGCGTCGAAACCGAGTCGTTGCCTGCGCAGCGCGGATACTCGTGTGATGTTTTGGTCCAACGTCCAGCCGGCATGCATCAAACCGTCGCCCGTTTTTTCCCGAAGAATTGTGCATATCTACATGTAGGTGGAGTGCAACCCAACTGATGAGGACGACGAAAATGCGTACAAATACACATTTTTCATTTTTGGGGACGTTGGGGTGCGTGCGGTACGTCTTGTGATGTTCATTTTTTGGCGAGCGTCTTGCTGCCGAGTCCAGCAGCTTGATAGCCGTAAACGACTTCATCTCTTGACTGGAGCTTGCTCTGAGTTAGCCCTGACCTTCCCCGCGTCCGTGCTGGTCTGGTTTTCTGGTGCGTTTCCCTGTCCCGTCCTATCCTCAGTCACCCAAGGCCGTCCTCGGCAATCGTTTCATAGTGGTGGACCTCAGCGAGACGAACCTCGTGGACGTCGATCCTCACTACCAAGACCCCGAGGAGACGGCTGATGCAGCCAGAGCTGCCGCCACTGCGAAGGCCGAGGCTGACGCTGCCGCGGCCGCCGCCACCGCTGCGGCCGCGGCACGGGCAGCTCGGAAGAAGGCAAACGACAAGCTGATTGTAAGTCGGTTGCGTCTCTCTCTCTTGTGTGGGTGCGGTTTCTTCCGTCTCGCCCTATCATACGTGCGCGTGGATGGTTGTCCTGTGCGGTACTCGGATGATGATATTTGACCGCCTAGTGTGCGTAGTCGGACCGCTTTTTTTATTTTTATTGCGGTGGAGGTTAGCGGAGTAGTACATAGTTCCGCCGAAGAAGCCGAGGAATTTGGTCTGGCGCCCTTGTACAATGTCGCGATGAGGTATGATGCTGGCTCGTCCAAGTTTGTATCATCAAAGTTTCCAGGTACAGTTCCAATAGTCGGCTATTTCCGTGGTCCCTCTGGCGCTGATGGCGGTAGTAACTATGTCGGTGGCTTTGATTTCGTTCGGTCGGGCGATACGGGTGGAAACCATGTTCAACAAGCGCACAGGCATAGAAATGTCGACCTTGTGGAAGCTGAGCTACTGTATTTACCTTACCTGAACTTACCTTACCTTCCAACACATGCCCGACTAACCTACGTCACTCTCCTCTCCTATGGTCTCGTGTTCTTGTTTTTTGGCGGAGCAGGCTCAAGCATCGAAGACCAGAGAGGTGGTCGCCCAGCAACGGGTGGTGGTCCTGCTGCAGGAGGGCGTGAAGGCGGCCGCCGTACCCATCGCGACCACCAAGGCCAAGCGGAACAAGGTCCAGGGATTCCTCAAGGTATCGTAGCTGTTGCACGATAGCCGATCGTTTCGATTGCCTCCTCCCTCCCTCCATCTCCTTCTGCCCTGGGTGATGGAGTACTACGGTGTAACTACGAGATATACCCCGCCCAACCCGAGTCGTTGTATACAGCTCGATGTTTTGGCAGCAAGAGAAAGAGAAAGAGAAGGAGAAAGAGAAAGTAGACAGGCCGACAAAGGTGGGGTCGGAAAGGCTTTTTTAGAGCTGCCCAGGGCGTGGCGTTTTGGTTTTGCCCCTCTCTTAGTCGTACCGTAGAGCAGTCGAGCTTTCAAGATCGGTTCAACGGCTAGAGGGTAGAGTGTTCGCTGTAGTAGGGCTTTGATCGTTAGAACCCACGTCGAGCTGTTTGCCTCGGAAAATGCTCGCAATTGCCGAGACATGATAAATTTGGTAGCGTTGTATCATGTCATGCTATCGTCGCCTCGTGTCATCGTTGTTGTTGCCTGCCGAGAAGATGATGCAAGAGAAAGGCAAGCCCGAAACGGAGCAGGCGCGTTATCGGGGGATGCTCGATACCCTTTCCGCCAAAGTCCTTGTTCTGGAGGCCGCCTCTCCAGCAGTAGAACTAGAGGCGCAACAGAGGTGAGATGCTGAACGTGGCTGCTTGAGCGGGGCCGATATTCGTGCAGTAGGTCGTGCCGGTATGTAGCTTTTGGTGTTGCGGTACTGTACCTTCGAATGACGAACATGCGCAAATCTCTTTGAATGTGCCATTCGTCTGGGCAACCGCGTGTGCCTGCACGGAATGAGAGACGTGCTACAGGCCCGTGGCAGCTTTAAATGTGGAAGGCGTATTTGGGCGCAGGCCCTGGGCGTTTCGACTCGTCTCGCCAGATGCGTTTTTCGTCGTTGTCGCCTGCGGCGGGAGCCAGCGTAAAAAAATAGTTTAAATCGATGACTAGGTGCATTTGGCGCTGCTCGGTTTTGTAGCGTCGCGGTATGCATGCTATTCGAACAAGGAAACTTTCATGAAGAGCATGAGCATGCCAACTGCGAGAGGGTTTCCCCTGTGGCAACGCCCGCCTTGTTTTCGTCCACGCATGTCTGCCCACAAACGTTCATGTTCCTCGTTCTCCACGACAGCTAACCAGCCCCGCGCGACAATCATGCGCTTTACCCCCATTCATCCCTCCCCTCGCCTTCCCACGCAACGGTATTTTACCCTAGAAAACTAGCAGATATCGAGGCAGAGGCACGCGCCATGGGCGCCACCGTCCCGCCGCCCCCGAACCCGGGTGTGCTCGCCAGGTTGGAGGGTGGAGGACGAGGAAGCAGTGGCGGCAGGTGAGGGTGGGAAGCGCAGCTTAGGCTTAAGCGTGTTACGTTTTGCCTTAGTCACGCATGTTTGGGGTTTTGGGGTGTGCTTGCGTAGGTCGATGGGGTGTGGGGTGTGGGAGGCGAGCGGGGGCTCACACGAAGCCGGTTTTCGAGGCATGCGTTTGGTTGGGCTTTCGGTGTCGGGCGAACGTTGGCCGGGGTTATACGTCCTACGGAGGAAGTGGTGTTCGAAAAGGACACATCCGCAAGAGTCCGCGCACACACCCTATTAGTAGTTTGGTGTAATCTCTCAATGGTTGAAGTCGGTTTCGACATGACTCTTCCTCTCCTTCCTTGAAGCATGCACCCATGATGCATGCCAGCTAGGTGATACCGATAAACCCCTCCATGTGCCGCACGCTTGCCGCGACGTTGTACTCCCCCGATCGACAGAGGGAGAGGCAGAGGTGCGGCTGTGGCATCAGCAGGTGGGCGTGGCGGCGGTGGCGGCGAGGCGCGTGTGCCTCGCTCGCTCGACAATCGACCCACCACGGTCAAGGTGTCCGGGTTGCCGGACAGTGCGGGGGAGGGTGACCTTCGAGTGCACGCCAACATGGCGGGTGTGGTGGCAGCGGCGGCAATGCTTGGCCGTCCTGGCGAGGGCGTCGTCAAGTTTGCGGAGAGATGGTGAGCTAGTTACGTGCACATGCACATGCATGCATGTGTGCGCGTGAGGCAGCAGTAGTGACTCGTCCTGCGGTCGTATGGTGCTGTGCTAGCTAGGGGTATATGGCTTTCAATGGCGAATGTGTTCATGTTCTCAGTCTCACTTGTGTGCTCGTGGTTAGCAGTGGAGTGAAATGAAAACCTTCGAACGACATTGGCACAATTTGTTTTGGGCCGTTTTTTTTTTTACTAATATCGCCGCCGCGAACGCTCTCAAGCACATGTTGCCTTTTGGTCGCCCGCAAGCTCAACGATGCCCCTAAACCCCGCCCCACCCTGTACTTTGCCCTATCATGCTCCGGCACTGCAGGGCGGCAGAAGTGTTCATGTCCAAGAGCAAATCCTTCGGCGGGATCCCGCTCACCATGTCTTGGTACACGGGACCATTCCCAGGATCGGCCCCGGCATCGTCCCAACCGCCCAGGCGACCCCATCAGGGACCAGGGAGCTTTCAGCAGGCCGCTCCTGTCATCAGTGACGGTACTGGCGACAGCATAGAGCTCAAGCTAGCTCCCGTCCAACAAGGGTTGGGCATGGGGGGTCTGCGAGGTGCCGGCGGCTGGGGTGACGACTTCGGCAAGGAGGAGGGTGTTGGTTGGGGGGGCGACGTGTGGGGCAAGCGGAAGAACAACCGAGGTATGCATTCATTAATTACCTGTAGAAGGTTTGACATTATTGCTGTGTGCCCATCCCGGTTGCGGCGTGAGTGGGAGCATGTCATCGCACACAAGAAAACGTCACGTTGTTTCTAAAGTCCTCGTGGCATCAGCTGGGGCATGATTATTGTTCCCATAGTCTAAGGGTTCCTCCTCTTTTGGGCCATCATTCAGTGCCCTTCGACGCACCGGATAGGCGGGGCTAGCCCGCTACCCCCGCCCCCCCCCCCCGCCGTCTCCCCGCTCCTTCTCACGGGCACCCGCTGACGTTGATTGTCGCTTTGTTGTCTTCCGTCGCCGTCGATCGGCTTCCCTTGCCTCCCATTCTATTGTCTTCGCAGGGAGTGGCAACGGGAGCGCCGGCAGCTCGCCGCTTCACCTTCCCAGCGTAGAGGCGGGCGATGATGACGACGAGCTCTATCAAGACATGGGTTCGTGACGAATCACGGCGTGATGTCATCGCAGGAGTCCGAGAGGTTAGGATTGTTTACTTTGGTTTTAGTTAAGGATATCTCCATCACTCACCCACTACGTGTTTGACGTCAACGAACACCCATTCTGGGTGCGTGGGTATATTTCGGGAGGTTGGGTTACACTCGAATTTTCTTTTGGAAAAGGTTCGTGGTGTCATCCGTTTCTTTATTTTAGTTTCCTATGGTGTGTGGCGCTGCCATGCGTTCGTGTGATTTTACTCGGGTAGGGCGGGCCGGCCGGAGGGGGGGGCGGGGGGGACATCTGTCTTGTTGGTATGTTTTTTTGTGTATCTCATCCAGTGCGCGAGCAGCTCAATACTTATTTATCCCCCTCGGTGACGTCAGAAACAGTCGTTGCAGAACGCCAACCATACAGAACGTTCAATTTCTGCAAGCGGCACGTTCCAGCTTGCTATTAATATTTATTGTGCGCGTGCCGTGCCCTCCGAACGCGACGAAAGAAAAATGAGCGGCACCTGCTCTCTTCAACTCACACCCATGCCTCGAAATCGGGCTTGGATCTCTTTCCAACGTATCCATTCCATTCGAAACCTAGTTTGGCTTGACGTACTTTCAAAGAACGAACGGCCTTGCGCGCGACGTGGTCCAGGTTGCGACGTCATGCCTGCCATTCCATCTTGTGTCTCTGCCGTTATTGTCGTGTTCGCGGATATATATCCCAGCGACTGAACGAATGTAGGCTGCCAAGGTATCTACCTGGCACTTCGCAGGACTCTCTTGTGTTGTTTTGATCCTCGAAATCTAGAGAGTGATGTGTTGTGTATGTGTGTGTGTGTTTAGTACATGAGAAGAAAGAGAAGTACAACCATCCCCCCCATCGGTCGGTGCAAGGAAACCTTGTGTAAAAGCAACGTCGTTTCAGTTTTGGCTGTTTCTTGAAAAACAACCTTGATCAGGGCTAGCTGCCAAAATATCTGATTGGTGGTCCACCCTACGACTGCTGTGGTGTGAATGCCCGATTTGAGGGTTTGCTTGCTAATTTTGTGGCCGGTTTGTCGCCCCCCGCTGCCGTTCCGTACTTTGGTGCAAATATCTTGCGTGTAGGAATCGTATGGTCGGCGGTCGTTGTTGCACGATGAAATGAGTAGCCTACGCGCATGAAATGTAGGTTTTTAGGATAAATCGAAGTTGACGACACTTTTACACTCTGTCGTGAGGCATTCGCGCTAGATAGGGTAGTGGTAGGTTTGCCGGGAGGAACCAAAGTTCTCCTACATGCGCCTCGACGTGCTCTATGCTCTATGTGTGCTGTGCAATGCGGGAGTGAAAATAATACAAGAGCACGGCTCGTGCGGGAAAACCCGGGATCGGGGGGCACAGGACCTCTATCTAGCTGGTGTATACTACATGTATCACGTTCGTTTTTTAATGGCATTCTGTTTCAAGTGCACATACATACGCTTACGTCTCTACTGATAACCGTAGTGAGGGTGGGCACCTCGGCCACAATATCTGTAACGTAACAACTACGATTGAGCTACACCCTCCCTCCAAAATAGTTTACGAAGTCAACGTACAGGTGCAGCGCATTTATTAGCTTTAGAGGGTGAATATTGTGCTTGTGGTTTGGTATTTGTAGAGACTTGAAGAGATTGTTTGGCTCACGTTTGGAACTTTGTCTGGCAACTCTTCTTTATTTTTCAGACGGCGATAGGTATCGCGAAGGACGCCGCAACGAGATACACCCACCCTCACGATTTTTGTTTTTCACAGTATTTGTTTTGGTAGATAAGCTCGATGTCGAGCTCGGTTTTTTGTGCCTTGTTTTGTTGTGGGGAGTTTTTGTTTCGCAGGCCCAACTTGGTGTTTGCCGTATCCCCAGCAATATTTAGTATTTAGACCATCCTCTGCAACAACGTTTGTTGTGTTTGTTCGTGTTCTCTGTTGACGTTGTTTTCTCCAGACTGCCCATAACGTGTTCGTGACAGCAGTACTGTAGCCGTTCTTTACGTGTACCGCACATTGAGTATGACCCGGTTGTTCGGCGGGAGTCTTTTTCGTTTTCGGTGCAAGTCATCTCAAGTCTTTGTCGGAAGCGATGATGTTAGTCATCCGCGCGTAACTTGTTGTGACGACGGGGAACTTGACGTTCGTTGTCATGCCGCGACCGGCGTGTTACTCGTAGTGGAGGTGGATGCGTTCGTCAGTTTCCTAGGACAGTATAGTAGGTATGCCGTCTTGTTTCGTCGCACGTTGCATGCTCGGGCTCTCTCGGGAATTTGTCTAGTGTTTGGCTTTTAGGTTTTGATTGCAACGGAGTCAGTCCCGGTTTGTGTGTGTAAACTAGGCCTGTTTTGTGTTTTTTGCGCCAACCTTGCGTCGTGTATGCCCTCCCTGTACAAAACCCGTCGTCTTCTTTTTCGTTCATTTTCCTTCTTTTCCTTTTTTAGCAGATTGCCTCACTCCAGCTGCTTTTATCTACCGCGGACGGTGATGATGGTAGATGGCACCCCTTGCCGGGGGTTGAGGGCTTCAAGCCGCGGTGTTGTCTTCTTTGCACGCTGCTGTGTCAGCAAGTCGCTGGGCTGGTGTCGTGCGTTGCACTGCACCACGCGAACGTTGTTGGTGGGGCCGAGAGAGGCGCTAGCGACCACTTCGGGGGGAGGAGATGACATCTGAGGAGGAGAAAAAAAAAATTGAACCTCTTTGCCTCTTGACAAGGTGCCGATGTTCGGCACACTCATACCTCAGAACCTGCGTACATACCCTGATGGCATCGGCCATACTTCCAAGGGACGCACGGTGAACTGCGAAGGCACGGCGATGCGCGCCTCTGACACGTCACCGAAAAATCGGCTGGACCACATGCACAAACACGATGTGCAATTTTCGTTGTTCATTGCATTGCGCACGTAAGTATGTACACTGCGTTTTTTCGTTCAGTTTCCAAAACTTATTTCCCGGCGGCAGTGTTAGTGAGTCAACACATGACACCGACGCCGTTTCAGCTGCACAACCGCGCTGGTATTCGACCTATCAAAACTCTACCGACGTAAAAACTACCGCTCCTGATAAAAGTACAACACCGGACTATACCCTATTTTGTCTCCTTCCTGTCGCACAACCGGGCGGTCATGCCCCCCGGCACATCCGACATCTCCCTCGGCGGAGCGAGCTTACGGGAGGGGGATGCTTTTTCGGACGAGAAATGTACATGGAACACCCCGCACTTCTTCCCGTTCGACTCGAAGCCGCCTCTTCCGAACACAAAATATTCCAAGAGACGTTTGCCGGTTCCAAGTCCGTCCTACCCTACAAGAATGCCGCACAAAAATCGTGCTCCTCAGATCTTTTCGGACGAGAAATGTACATGGAACACCCCGCACTTCCTCCCGTTCGACTCGAAGCCGCCTCTTCCGAACACAACATATTCCAAGAGACGTTTGCCGGTTCCAAGTCCGTCCTACCCTACAAGAATGCCGCACAAAAATCGTGCTCCTCAGATCTCCGCCACCCCCCCCGCCGCCCTTCGCCATGAATGAGTCGCGGGAAATCAAAGCCAATATATGTCACACCCCACGACATCATTCTCAAAATCATCTCATTTTTGTTTCTCGGATAAAACCATATTTGAGTGCCCTCCTTTTCGGAACGAGCGCGCTGTCTTCTTGTGCCGGTCCACGGCACATGCTCTCAGCAGCAGCAGCAACAACCCCGATGACTGAACAACTCCAACCAGAACACGCTGCAGTCAGTCAGTCAGGCTCACACCGGCGGTGAGACTCAGCGCGCCGACCCGTCTCTCGCTGAGACGTACAAAACCTCCTCACGAGATTGAAAGCACGAGTTCTTGGTGCATGCGTCCGCCGCACGCCAACCGATCCCGTCTACCAAAGGCCGAGGCGATGGAAGGGGATGGAAGGGGATGACCTTCTCTGACGGCGCCCGCGAGCGCGTGTTTTCGCTTTCGGTGGTCAGTCGCTCTCCTCGTCGCTTTCTTCCTCCTCCTCCTCTTCTTCGGAGGCGGGCTCGGCAGCCTTCTTCGCGTTGTACGCCGCCATCTCCTTCTGGTACCTCGCCTTGTCCTTGTCTGCCTTCTTCTGGAAGGGCGCTTTGTCGTTGTCGTCCATCTCTCTCCATCGCGCCCCGAGCACCTTGCTGATCTCTGTCACCTTCATGTCAGGGTTCTCCTGCTTAACCTGTCAACGTGGGCGGCGAACAATATCACGCCGTGTTGGTGATCAACAGGTGGTGAGAGGAATAGGGCGCTCTGTCTCTCTCTCTTGCGAGTGCAGGGTCGTCGTGGTGTCGTAATTTCACACGCGATCAAAGGGGTCTGTGTATGCGGGGCTGTGTGTGTGTTTGGAACCCAGACAGCTTTCTGGAACCATTCCTAGCCCTCTTAAGACTAGCTTGATTGGCGGGGACACGAGCGCATCCAAGGCTACGGAATACCTTCGCACAAATGCTCCGATCACGGAAAATGGACACTAATTTACAAGTAAAGAACATCGGATAAACGATATGGCCGTCCGCCCGTGTCACAAGGCTGGATGGACCAATCGTCATGGGTGGATTTGATCAGGTAGTATTTTTTGGCCTTCACAAAAATGAACAGCTGGCACGACTCAACTAAACAAACGTGGATTTCACGTGATAGACTTTACCCCCCACGGACAAGACAGACCTTTGAACCTCTCACCATGCATGTTACATATGTGCGCGTTGTGTGCCAGTGCTGCGCGAACGACACAAAAAATATGAGCATTGCCAGAAAAAAAAATGTATATATCCTTGATCTTTCCTTGTTCAGTCGGTCGAGGGGGGGGGGAGGGTAGAAGGAAACGAACAGCTATCCTACATACCTCCTTCACGATTTCCTGGGAGAGAACAAACCTCACGATTTAAACCTCTGTGTACTCACTCACCACCGCTCGCTCCTTTTGCGAGAACTGCATGAATGCAGAGGATGCACCCTTGGGCTTGTTGGGGTCTTTCTTCGCCTTCCTCTTCCTCTTCACGGGGCCTCCGTTGGAGGCTGCCTTGGCCGACTGTTGCATTCAAAGCGTGGCCAACATCGCACCCAAACGAGTGAACCAAGATACGTGTGTAACGAGGAGGAGAGGGCGGAAGAGGTTGTGAGCCGTTGGCCAGAAGGCATGCATCAACTGCTACGCTGCTGTCGTAACCGCAGCACATGTAAACAATAAAGATACCCGGAAGGGGGTCGTACTATGAATAAAAAATGGGTGTCGCAAGAATGCCCACAATAATCCTCTCTACATACCCTTTGAGTTAGAAGCACGTCAGAGCTTAAGCTTCCACGCAAGCCCTCGCCCGAACCAAAGACACCTTGACAAAATAGTGGGAAAGAGTGTGTGCGTGTGTGTTTGTTTTTTTGTTGCCATCCACCACGCTACCTGGCTGACCAATGAAAAGACTTTAGTCTCAGTGCGGCTTAAAACTACCACTTCTAAAAGCGCATCTACAGAGTAGCGCCATATTCTGGGACTCGGGAACCCGCGTGTGTGGGGGCCATGGGGAGGCAAGAGTGTGTGTCTGTGTGCTCTTTTTATTGGCGCCGACCGCGCCAACCTGCTGATCAATCAAGAAGAAGTCAGTCGTAGAGGCGTAGCGGGGCAAAATACGCTGGCTGGTACAGAGGGGGTCCTTGTTTACCGTATACTACACAAGACAACACATCCCCTAGATCGGTTTTGAAAGGTCATTTACTCCACGAGGAAGAGGATGCTTGAACGAAACGATGCGTTTTCGGAGAGCTCTCGACCAGGCGGCTTCAATGTCGCCGTTTACGGCGCTGCGATTCGTTCTGCTGTTCATATATCGAGCTTTGAAAATTGGTCCAGGGGTTGTGTTATCTTGTGTCGTATACGGTAGTGTCCATGTGTGCCCAGAAAATTCACCGGCACTATCCCTATACTGGAGCGGCACTATTCAAAGTACTGACCATGACTTGGAAATTCAGTGTGTGCCCGCCGAAAACACCACCACCATACCGGGCATTGACACTAATCAACCGGCACAAAACAGGGACCCTCACTGCTGTACGCGAGTACTCCAAGTATTACTTTCTGCTTACAGAAAAGTCTGCGGGCCCCCCTGACAGATGGCCTGTGGGCCCGTGGCAGAGCCGGAAAGAACGGCCCAGAGGATTTAGACTACTGCTGCGCAAGAGAAACCTGCACGATAACATCACTTCGAAGAGTGTACCCCCGTGGTACCTATTCGACGTTGCGATCTAGTGTGGGTGTGTGTGGGGGGGGGGGGTCGGAAAGATTAGAGATTGCCGCGGCCGCCCATATTTGGTAGATCATGGAACAGCCTCGCAATCTCACAGAGCAGTTTTTCATGGAAGTAGTAGTTTTGGGCTGTTTTGGGAATGTTGTGGGCATTTTGAATTCCACGCAACAGGGTTTGATACAGAAGCAACACGTGTTGACCGACACCACATCACTCTAGATCCCACACCCCATTCCGAAAGAAATATCTCTCCCTGACTTGGTAGGTTCGCTTTATTTGAGTGAGGGGTGGGGGCGGCGAGACACCGAGACACGGAAGATGAACCGAAATGAACGACAAGATGACACGATGACCGCCTGGGAAAAAAATTGAAAAAATCAGTAACGGCTCTTTTCCACCCACCTTCTTGCTCACAGCAGGCTGATGCACCAGCGGCGATGCCGATACCGCGCACGCGAAGAGAAGCCGAACAAAAATACAGTCGGATCCGGGGGCGAGCGCGAAGTGACACCGAAGTCGTGAGCGAAAGTTTGGTATTGATGTATTGATCGATCGGTTATTCTCTGAGCAACTCAAGAAGACCCGAAATATCTCTCTCGTCCAAGCCAAGGATGCGTGCAAATCGACCTCCCCAGCCTTGTCTTGGCAGCCAAGATGGTGGCGGGAGCACGGGCAAGAATCATCCCGACGAGGACCAGATGTTTGGGCACAGCTGTTGCTCGCGCAAGCAAGCAGCGGAGCGGGATCAGTGCATCAAAACGCGCTTCGGAAACACACAACAACCGCGCCAAAAAGCGCCATCTTGCGCAGGTCTTGAATCCAGAGAACGTAGTACCAACCGACCTCTCCTTGGTTCCTCACCTTGGCCATTTTTGCTGCGTATGCCAACAATCGGCGGATTACGCTTGCGTTGGAGCTTGACAGCTGCAAGAGGCGCGAGGGTGCGGAGTGCGACCGAGCGTGGCGAAGGAACGATCGATGTGCGATGGATGGATCAGCAACTGCTGTCACGAGTGCGTGGGCGCGACCAGACTGCGGCCCCCCTACCTTCCCCTCTGCCATGCAAAACGAAACATGGCATGTTTGTGTGTGGAAAGTTTGTTTGCCCGAACAGCGGGCTAGAGGCGATCTTCGTGTATGTGTGGTCGCTGTACGCTACCATGCTACCATCTACAGGAGCAAGAAATGTTTCCCGATAAGACATCGTGAGGACTTAGGGAACTTGAATCACACTTCTGCCCGCGGCAACAAAAAAAACACCGAAGAAATTAAGTGCAAAACACGAAACAAACGTGTTTGTTGTTCTCTCCCGGCCGTCTGTGCTCGGAGTATTAGACTCCACTTTTGTGTATGTACCTCTTACATCCGTGGCAGGTCCAACTGACTCGGTCGCCGTCCGCGGTCATGTTGGTATGCGGAAAGTTAAAGTTTAATGGCCAACAGCAGGCAAGATGCTATCTTCATTTGTGGTCGCTGTATGCTACGATCTACAGGACAGGAGCAAGGAAAGTTGATGAGAATCGAATGGTATTATGGAAGTTAGGGACCTTCGACGCATGTATTTAGTATCATACTCCCGCGGGAACAAACACACTCCGAAGAAATAAAACGCAAAACAAAACGTGTTGTGTGGTGTTTGTTCGTAGATCCTTTCCCGGCTCTGCTTATTACCTCTGACATCCGTACCCGTGGTCCAACTGACGCGGACGCCTTCCACGGTAGCAGGGCAACCCAAAAAGGGTGAACGATGGACAAATAAATAAGCTGGAAACTTCTTCGGCGCCACTTCTTCATGCGGGAAAGCTCAGTGCTACTACAATTGTACTGCTGCCTTTGATACAAAAGATCCGAGACCTGCGTGGCGGGCACACCAACCGAGACGAGGTTGTGGAACCTTGCTAAACTTTCATTGCGCTAAGTCACACCGAACGCAGCACTTCCCCTTCCTCTGAAACCGGGTGCTCCTGAATCCTAATATGTGCCTTACACGATTGTAGCCCAAGCATGCGACCGAAGATAAAACGAAGTGATAGATTCGCGGATACACCATTGCACGCCCCCTCAGTGTCCCGACAAAAAAAGCCATGCTATATTGCCCTATCGAACCTAAGGACACATGTACTAGGTACGTGTTTCCGCGGAAATTTACTTGTGCCCCCGCCTGCGTTGCTGGCGGCCCTTCTTGGCACCGCGAACCGTACCCACGACTGCGCCATACTGTTTCAGCGCGGTGTCCCCGGCCTTCTTTCCGGTGAGCGTTCGGCCGTCCAACGGAATATATGCGTAAGGCTCCAGAGTTGCCCCCTTTCTCTTGACGTCGCCACCAGCTTTCTTGGATCGGAACTCCGCCCCTGTTGCGGTACCCCTGACCGCTCCGACCTTCTGCCGTTTGCCGGCAACACCTCCCCCGCGGCCGGCACCTGATCCGCGAACTCCAGGCACTGAACGTCCCATCGCGCCCTGTGAAGAGCTATCGTCCGCCGCCGCTCTTGATTTTTGTCCCGCCATGTGCACAAATCCGGAATCGTTCTTTCCAGTGTCGACAACACGATCGTCGTCGTCATCGTCATCGCTGTCGTCACCGTTGTTCCTCGACCGCTTCTTCTTCCGACCCCCGCCGCCGCCATCGTCGTCACTTTCGTCCTCATCGCTGCCCCCGGGAATGACAAACTTCCCGTCTCGTAAGCCTAGTTCCGGGCCGTCGTCGTCGTCGTCAGAATCGTCCGAGCCACTGTCATCGGAGCTAAAGAAGCCGCCACCGCCGCTGCCACCCTTCTTCATACCGCCACGCTTTGTGCTCGACACGCGCATGTTTCGGACCATGGACGCGTCGAGCAAGTCTACTACGCTCGTGCCGTCCTCTCCCCTCTCTCGCACCATCATGTCGGCTCCCTTGGCGGCGCCGCGCCTTGCGCCACCCTTGGCAGGCATGCTTTTGACGGTGCTGGTCGTGTTTGGGCCTTCGTCCTCGGAGTCCGAGTCGTCCGCATCCGAGCCTATCAAGAAAAAAATCAAACACCCGACATTGCAGAAGACGGAAAGACACACGATATGCATGTCAAAAGGGAAACGTCTAAAAGCTTGTCCCTATCATGTAGTTGGGATGAAATCCTCAATTGGTGCTTATGTATGGCCGTACTAGCAACATGTTGTACCGAAACGCGCACACCAGCCTGTACAACAGAAAACACAGCAATACAATGTACCAGAAAACAGAAAACGATTCGTCGTGCTGAATAACAAAAAAATAAGGTGAAAACTCCTACTCGTACCCTCCATGATGGTGTCGAACGTCCGCACAGCCTTCGTAATTTTGCCCTCCCCCGGGTTGGCACTGCCGCCCCTTCCACCGTCGTCTCCACCGCCGCGCCCACCGGCTAGGCGCGTCTTCTTAGCCTTAAGCTCTCTTTCAGCGGTCGTCTGCATGTGAGCCACGAGTTTCTTGTCCTGCTCTGGCATGAGGGCCTTGATTTCCTCGAACCCAAACTTGCGGCACAGCTTCGACAACACGATCCGAATCTTGGCTCGGAAGTGATCCTGCAAGGCGAGAAGCAAGCGTTCGTTGTATTGAGGAGCGACCAACGACCGTCAGAAAAGCTGCCAAGATGCTGGGGGCCAACATAACCTCAACAGTGATGGACATTGTGCTGGCTCGAGGACAGTCATGAGGCTGTGGACATCGTCGACGAAGAGGAAC